TGCTTATGATCTTCTAACAAGGATTTAGCCAATGGGTAACTTGTGGACCAATTATCTAAAATCACATTGCAACCTGTTCCAGATATAGGTGCAATTATCCTTGTAACAACTTCAGAAGGTGTGTTTGAAACCTTGTATGGGCCTTCAGATTGTGTGCCAACGTAAACTTCCAATTTAGAAGTATAAAAGGACTTGGTATCAACTAAAGCAAATACTTTCAGGCCATACTTTGCCGGTTTGCTATGAATGTACTTCCGGAAACTCCATCATCCATTAAATGCTCCTACTTTTCATCAATCATAACGTTTTCTCCTAAAGAATATAGAGACTCACATACATCATTGAACTTATTAAAAATTTATCTAATTGGAGCCAATTTGTCATAAGATCTTCATTCAGTTCTAGTATTTTGGTCGTCAAATTGCAAACATCTAAGAAGAAAACAGAAATGAACAAGTGACATTATGCTTCTAAATAATTCAACACCGGTACCATCTATGGCCCATAGATCCTCCAGATTCTGGTGACTAGACTTATAGAAGCCATCTAAATATAAAAGTACAAACACAACCTTTATTTCACTCATATCAGTCTCTTGAACACTTGTTATTTTCGGCATAATTTCCTTGCTCTCTTTCTATTTCATCATTTGTATTCTTCAAAATAAGGTCAATCATGTCCTCAGGGAAAAGTATCTCCCAGCAATCTAAAACTGATTTTGCATTTTTTGTGTTGCCCAGAACACCTGGGGCTTGGCTAACTATGTTATGTGCTAGAGTTCTTCTTCGAGATCCTAACTTGTTTTTACATCATCTTGTTTGCCTATCCTTTGCCAAGTAAAAGCCTCCTTCTGAAGTTTCTTCCTCACAGTCTTGTTCTCTATCAGACTCATGCTTACTGACTAATTCTAAATCAAGTTCACTATCCTTATCTCCGCTAAATGGCTCCTTGTCTGTCAAAGTGTCATCTATAAGTTGACGTAACCTCTGTCCCTCCTGCTCGTAACTCATTTGATAAAGAAATGTATTACTCTCAAAATACCCTCTAAATAGACTTGAAAGGATCTGAAGATGGTGTATGCTGTACAGAACTGTAAGGTTTCTTATTTTGTTACAGATCCAGTCTGCAAAACGTTGTGGTTTTTCATCATATATACCAGATGATGGACAGAGTCCAAAATAAGAAACCTTACAGTTCTGTACCCTCTAAATATTTACAAAAACGTATTCACTTGTTGTTGGTATGTAAAAATATAAAGACACAGCAGTAATGATAATATTTTAGTGGAATATACATGAAGACAACTTAAGTTTCAGAAGTAAATATAGTCACACTTTTGGTAAAATGGGGTGTGGTGGACCCAAGCACACTAAACTTGCTTGCACGCAATAGCCTGTCTACGGCGTCTAGTAGCAGGTTATGGGAGGGGAAGCTACACTGAGGCATGACTCACTGCCACACATTCTTAAAAAGTTATAGTCAATTTAAAATCTTTGGGGCCTGCGGGATCCCATCTTACTAACACCAGGTTAAAGTCAGAAATATAAGATTTGGTGTGCAGCAGTAGTTTTTCTCAGGGAATCTACTGGTCCAAAGTTCATACCTGTATCTGCAAAAGTATGTCAGTTACAATCTCTGTGAAAATTTATGTGGAGGGGGCTGTATTTAAGAAACTGAAAATTTTGCTCAACATAATAAACAAAGGACTATTTTATAAGACAGAATTTAAACAAAGCAGAGTTTTGCTGGAATGATTAAAAACATATAATGAAAGAAAGAAGCTTCTAAAATTATAAAGATAATGATCAAGTCACTTGATATTAACAACCACTACCTGTAACTACCCTCTTCTTTTTTTTCAATGTACTGACAAAAAGTTCCTGCAAAGTAAGTTTGTGTGAGTGGCATCCTCTCCTTCTATACAATGATGATGAAGGGACTGTATACAGAACATCAAAAACGACTACAGCATGTAACATTTTTTATGTGGCCATAAAAATTACAAAAATATCTTGTCCATTTCTTTCCATAAATTTTACAGTAATATCACATTCGTCATCATTATGTGTAATGATACATTTCATGCACTAGTCAGTGTTATATACAGCAGGAACATACTTTCTAAGACATATCTGGTTTGCCTTTACTCCAACATCAGTTAAATCTGTAACACTCGGTTTGGTACCCATATCTTCTTTATCCAGTGGAAATAACTGTATCTTAAGCTGTAAAGCTCTGATGAGCACAAACTTATGGTCACCTTATGCACTATGACCAGTTTCAGTAAACAGTAGCCTGTCAGTCTTGGAACACGTGACCTCAGTTCTATCATGTTATGTAGCAGAATGTAATTCCTGTAATATTTTCTTTGGAACATTTACGTCAAATTTATGGTGTTAAAATGTGATCTTTTTTCTCGGCTGCTTGAAGATTAGTGCATGGTGAGTAATTTCATTACTCAGCAGAAGACACTGCAAGGGCTTTGGCCATGCAGACTGCACTCAGCATCTACATGAAAATCTTCTACATTATAATGTAACTTCAAGATTTTACTGCTCTTGTACTGTGAACATACACCATCAATGAAATAGTATACCTTATTTAAGCGGGGTAAAACATAATAAACCAACTGGTGTACAATGCAACTTATGAAAGAGCAGACTGCAGATGCTGTGAGCTCAAAAGAGTCACACAGATTTACACTCTCTTCATTCATGTAATTTCTGATTGTATTTTGCAATAATAAAAACCAGAAGGGTGGAGACTGGGCTGCTCAGTTTCCAAGTGGAACCTCTGTACAGCATCTTGACATAAAAATAAACAATTTTCTAAAAAACAGAGTAAAATAATACCTTCAGTTTTTGGCAGAAACATTTCTTTCATCTTCAAATATGAAACTTATAACTTTCGCCCATAATGATGGCTTATTGCTTGATCTGCAGTTGGGCAGATTTTTTCCAGTGAAATGTCCAGCAGCGTTCGTTATGTATACAATTTTTGTGTGATCATCATGAACCCGTTGCTTGTAAATTATACTGTCTTCCACATCAAAATTATCAGCATGAAATAATTGAACAAGAGTTCACAGCTGACTCTGTCCTGTGCAGTTTGAACATCTATGGAGCATACCAGATTTTCACTGATATATGATGAATAAACTATTAAACACTGAATATGAACAAAATCCATCCAAAAGTTCAGGCACAGCAGGGCACACATGCATATTTTGACTGACAGCATTCCAAAATCACGTTTCTATATTTCTGGATGCTAAAATGTGCATATCCATCAAAATCTCAAGATCAGTTCTTTCCATGATCACAATATTTTGCCATACTAATGTACAAGAATTTGTTTTAATGCTAGTGGGGTAGGACTAAGTCCCTTGCACTGCGGCCACAGGCCTATTGTACCAGTCCCAGATGATAGGTGTGGGTGATTGTGGAGCAATTGGTGGAATGAAGATTGGCAGGGGAACCAAAGTACTCAGAGAAAACCTGCCCCAGTGCCACTTTGTCCACCACAAATCCCAATGCACAAGAAAGCAGAACTGGAATGTGCTTCTTTCTTGTGTTCATTTAAATTTACATAACTTCATAAATCTGACAATGACAAGAAATACTATATGCAAGAAAATGAGCTATACTCATCAAGAAATGCAAATGATGTTGGTCACTGTACATTATTACAAGAGCAGTTACTGCTCACATTAATTACCAAAATACTTTGAATAACATTCTATTCCACATTAGCTGTCTGTTCAATGGCAGAAAGGAACAGCGATGTACTGCCCCCGGACGAGTTTTCGGCCAGTTTTGACAATAGGGATGCAATCACTTGACTGGTCACACTTGCAGTCTCATCTTCCCTAACGTCAGATTTCTGAATGGCACCAGCACTGGGCTGCATGAAAACATATTCCTGATTATAACAGTATAAATTAAATTATGCAGATTAAGTGAGCAAAATGTGAAATCTCCATCCTTATATAGGACTCATCAACTTCTTATTAATACAGAGTGAGCAAAAATGATCTTTATAATTTCAGAAATTTATATTTAAGAAATCAGGCAAGATACAGGATCTGAATATTCAAACATTAAACTTCAACTATCGAAGTTTATTTTGCCACCCAGAGATGTTCAGTATGTGCACTACTGGTAATTCTATACACATCAAGCTGATATTCCAGTTCAGTCCATACATTCTGCTGCAAAGGGAACTTTCCTTTACACAAACAACCTGTCTCACAGACCCGTTTGTGAAAAAGCATAAATGGAAATCTCAGAAGGCGGATTCTCTTCAAGTTCTGACAGGTAACTGCACTCAATTCATGCACCTGGTTTTATTAAACCAAAGGACACATCACTTTTTGCAGAGGTGTCACCATTTTCTAGACTGCAGTGCACATGGTGGCAAATCATTGCAACTCCATATGCAAGCTTCCATTCAAAACTCTTGAGTCATAACTGAATGTCTGAAAGTTGAAATGTATTATCTCGCTTGATCGTTTCACAATAAAGTTCCAAAACTGTAAAGATAAATTGTCCTAATCCTGCATGTGGCACATAGAAATAAAATCCAAGTTATGTCTCAACTTTAACCTTGCTATCCTGTTAAAATCACAAGTTATAATGAAATAATGCCATCATACTTGTATTATGTAAGTACAGGGAGATTATCTGACAGCCTGCCACAGATCATTCTACCACTAGGGCAAAGAGCTAGGATCATGACTAATGGTGGGCTTTGTATTTGCGATACTGAACCTTCCGGTTCTATTGCTAGTGCTTCATATCCATTCTTCTTATTAGTGGGCATGTTTAACAGTAACTGTTACTGCACCTTGTCATGTCTTGCTTGTCTGTCCCAAGTAAAACAAAGCTTTCCTATATCTACAAATAGCAACAGTTGTCCAACTGTACAATAGAAGCACTGTTCTTACCACAGTTATTGTCTGCTGAGTTATTTGCTGATAGTGTGTCCGTGCTCCTGCCAGACTCTCCACCACATTCTTGAAGTTGTTCTGCAATAAGGCATGCCATTCAGATTTCATGCAACACAAGTACAAGTCTACATCAGCAGCAATATTTCAACATTACTTTCAAGTTTGGTTCATGTATTTGTTTTCACAAAGTAAATACAGTTATGTTGGCAGTGACCACATCAGGACACGGACAAGGAAGAAAACAGTCATAGTGAGGCAGCAATTTCCTTTTCTTCAAATTTTGCAGAAACTATTTCTGACCATTCACTATTCTAAGAGTAAAACCATGTGAAGATCAAAGTTAAGAGATCTGTTGTGAAATTGGCTTTCATGAAAACTCCTGAAAGCATTTGGTAAAAAGGTAAAGGTAACGCTATCCCTGTAACAGGTCGTGCAGGCCCATAGGGTTCTGAGACATCGAGGCTCCCATATTTTCTTTAGACAACTGCCTAACAGATGGCGGTAAGGTTGTCAACCTTATGCGCTGACCGTCTTTTATCCCCCATGAAGATTCCTGGTACTCATTTCTGTTAGAGGATGATTCAACCCCATGGCCATAATGTGGTTGGTAGGATTAGGTTCAATGAAACTGATCCACCTCATCGAGAGTCGAACCTGAAACCTTCTGGCTTGTACCACAGTGCCTCGACCAACTATGCTACTGTGTGCCCCCAAAAGCATTGGGGCTTAAACCAATAAAGCTGGTATTACTAAGGGGTCTAGAACTAAGAGACTATAATAATACAAAAATCATAAGTAACTACAACCTCCAGGGAATCTAGTCACTTCACTACAAGACAACAGTCTCCTATTAGCAATAAGTGCACACACCTAAAAAGCTGCATTCAAAACAAAGACCCTCAATAACATGAAGCTGTCTGGAGACAGACTAACAATGCTACTACATTATCTGTTGCAGTATGCATGGAAGCAGATCTCCATCCAGATGTTGTAGCCGTTCATTATAATGAATGTTGATTAATACTATTAAATTGTAAGCTATATGTCATAAGTTCGGATCAAGAAGATCATCATGTTCTTAGATTCATATAGTCACATTCTTACATTTAGAATGCGACATATGCACGTTCTTGCTATGCAAACAGGATGTAACTACCTGCAACTTTTCCTAGAATTTAGATATTTGACAGCTAAGGCAAGCAGTAAAACAAAAATAGGTTGGCCCGATACCCACCCACACTAAGTTTATTAGCATCAAGGAACTGTCAAAAATGCTGTTTGCGTTTTAAAGGCTAAAATTACTTAGTAAATTCATCTGATTCAGAAAGCAAAAATTCTGAGACGTCCTAGTTTTTGAACTGGGCCAATAAAGCATGTTTCAATGAGGCAACTTTTGTTGGAAGCTGAGGCTCTGAGAAGCTCATAGATCAATTCCAAGAGGACTCCAGTTTTAACTTTGGACTTGTATGGACGCAAACCTGCATCACTTTGGCTTAAGTATAATTATACAAACTTAAACATTTTTTGCATCATTCTGAGTTACTTAACAAAGTGTAGTGCAAATGACAAATAATTACAGAGTAACTACAATATTAAAACAGATTTAATCAGTGTACCTGCCATTTCAATGTCTAATAACTAATAATTTTTAAGTGCAAACTGCTGTCTTGTGTTTAAGTGCATATGCTTGTGTTCCTCCTGCCCTGATACAGCAAGGCCTATTAAGACCCGGGGATTGGTCTCGTGTTCTACCTGACCCAAGTCTGAGTTCGCCATCCCACTACATATCTTTAACCTACAAATTAGTAGCCACCACCACCTGGTGACTATTGGCACCCAAACAAGCCCTTCAGCCTGCGCACAACCCCTGCAAGGGAAGGAGGTGAGGATAAACCTAGTGCAGGTGATTTCTACAACTACAGGTGTAATGGCATACTAAGTTGCTACAAGGGTTTGCTTCCAACTTCGTGCCTTTATGCTCCAGAACTCAACTGTTCAAGGTAAATTTCAGCTATATAAGAGGTGTCACTAACATAGTGGGGCCTGAACAGCTATAAAAGACCCTCAATAACAGGCAGTTCTGTCTGAACAGAGACTAACAATGCTATTAAATTATTTGTTGCTGTAGGCATGAAGGCATATATTGATCATGGAAGGAAATTTCCATCCAGATTTTGACACTGGACAGAGATGAATGGGTAGCTTTCCACATTATGTCTGGAGAAAAAGTCAAAGATGCCCAGTGGATAGGAGACAGGGTGGAAACCAAATATAACGGTAAAAATAAAATCTGTGCACCTCCCAGGGACTGTACCTTAGTTTTGCAGCACACAGTCACTCACTTTACTGAGGTATCATGGCTCATGGTAACTACAAGTTTCTCTATTTGTCTTTCTTTTTTTTAGGGGAGGAGGCACATGAAACTACTATTAAGAAATACTATTACACGCTCTATGTATTCTACCACAGAGAACAAATCTTCACTGTTGTTTGCACATGGATAACAGAAGCATTCAAGAAAATATTCTTTAGAAACATAATCACAATTATGATGTTTGAGCCGTCTTGTGAACCATTTCCTGTACCAAGAACATTCCTGGATTAAAAAACAAAGTTAGCATTAATGAAATGTACAAATAAGTGAAGTGATATAGTATGAAAAATAATGACCATGTGGTACCAAGGAAAATCACTTTAACATGGGATATACAAACACAAATTTGAGACTTGAGGTTCTCACCTAGTACATATTAAGATTATCTTGTGCCCTGAAGATGGAGGAAGTAAGTTCCTCCAAATGCTGGCACCTATCTACCAGACTACACAGTCTTTAGATAAATACGCTGCTCTGGTATCTTGCTCAGTTTCAAATACGTACCTCTGAGCCTTCGTATCTAAAGATACCCATAATGCTGATGCCAACGTTCTTGAAAGTCAAGATGCCCAGTTCCCTGCGAGACAAGGCAAACAGATATGTCACTCCTTGGGCAGTGCACTGTTCTTTCAGCTGAGCTACTCTGTCATAAATTCCTCCTAAAATGGAAAATACTGTGCTTTTAGTGTGAAAATGTATAAAAAACACATATGTATAAAAAATGTATACATAATAATGTAAATAATGTATACAAAATGTAAAAAAAGAAAAACTTGATTCTTAGCAGGACCTGGCAGTCAGTCATTCTGGCTCAAGTTCTTTGTAGTTGTTATCAGTCTTTGCAGGAAAAAAGTTGAGGCACTGCACTAAAAAAGGATCTTTGTCGTTTCCTAGCCTTTCCAAGTCACAGCTCATCCTGCCAATTGACATAACATAACCTATGCAGGTTAGATTAAAAAGAAAAAAAGAGGTAAAACTATCCCTGTAACAGGTTGTGGAAGAGCAGAGGGTTGTCAGATGTTGAGGCCCGCAAATTTTCTAGACAATTGGCTCACAGATGGAAGTAAGGTTAAGCAGATTAGAACATATTTTTAAGTAAATCATAAAACGGTCAACTGTTAGATAAAATTAATATCTTGACTATTACAATGTGTTTTTACATAAATTCGGGTGGTCCATACTTCTGAATTTTCAGACAACTTTTCCCACATTATCTAGACAATCGGCTCAAAGATTGCGGTAAGGGTGTCAGCCTTACGTGCCGGACGCACTTTACTCCCCAGGAAAATTATTTAATTAATTCCTGGTACTCATTTCTGTTAGAGGCTGAGTCGACCTCAGGGCCATATTGCAGCCGGAAGGATTAGGTCAATTGAAAAAAATCCAATGACCTGGACCTGAACCCGTGACCTTCTGGCTTGTAGCATAGCAACTCAACCAACTATGCTACTGCATGCCCCTTATATTGGAGCATATCAATAACAAACTCTACTCTTATTTGCTGACCTGCTTTTCTTATGCACAAAACAGACCTCTTCCATAAAACAATGTAGAGTCATCTGATTGTTCAGTGTCATCCTTATTTCATCTGATCTACAATACACCTTGAGAAGTAATAATTCTTAATGTCCTTGCTATGGATATCAATGAATTTGTCCTAAGATACTCATAACATAGTGAGTTCTAATCAAGGCTTGAGAATACATAGGGACCTACACATATACAAGAGGATAATATTATAAAGGATTTTTAAGAAATAGTGCAAATGCATGGAGAGGATTCAACTGATTCAGAATAGGGTCCAATGTTGGCCTTTTGTGAACATGGTAATGAATGTCCCAGGTTCCACAAAAGCAGCAAAGTAGCTACCTTTTTTTTAGTTAGGTCCTGATCATGGAGCTACTTTGGTAATAAAACACATGTTAATTTAATACAGCAAATCTGTATAACCAATCTTTTCCTCCCTGCTAAAACAGAAGTGCTCCATCGACAGGCAAGCAGGCCACTCTGAGGGCCAGAGCAATAGCATATCTCTACTGCAACCAATACAAAACTGAACATTATCTTATCTTATTAATGTGAAACTTTAGCTTCCATTTGATCCTCAAGAAAATTTACATTTGATTACAATTAAAAAAAAAGCCTGCATCATGTTATGTAAGTGTCCATCAATGTCTCCTCCCATTGCTGTGCCACAAAAACTTTTATGACTAGCCAGTTCAACTACCTCAGAAGCTCTGTGATGCCTTAAATGATGAATAATAACCGAGAATTATCGCTGCATCATTATTCTCATCAAAGGCTTCAAATTCTTTTGTGTTCTTTTTCTGAATTACTTAGGTCTTCTCTAATATTTCCAACTTGTTGCCTGCGACAAACTAACAGCATTAAAAAACAGTTTCTTCTTTGTGACAAATCTCTTGGACTGTTTTTTGCTAATATTTCCTTATGAATTCCCCATTGAAGAGTGGTTTTCTTTTTTTAGCCAACAATGCAGAGGAACTATCACTGGATTGGTTTCTGAAGACATTCTGTTCTTATATAAGCTCTCTTTTTAAATCTATTTTTCACTTCTGAGAACAGTAGCACAGTTTTGTGCTCTTTGTTTTTCAAATGGTAATACTTACCAATAATCTACTTCTACAAAATTGCAGTACTTTCACTACAAAATAAACATAAAACTTTCTCATTCATATGAATAAAATATTTGCCTGTTCACTTCTCTTGAAAAAGTATACATTCAGAATCCACTTTATGCTTTTTTTTTGATAAAGACATTACATAAGGCACTTTTGCTTAATTTAGGCCTCTTTTAATTAGCTACAGACAACCTAACACAACTTATAATGGGGAAACATACATCCTACTTACAATTACAATATTTGATGGCAACAAATAGAACTTCTACAGGTAAACTTTACAAAGGATGACATTTCTGCCTGACAAGGTAGTTTCCTCAATTTTCTCTGAAAGCAAACTAACTTTAGTCACGTCAATGATGGACATTAGAAAAACTGTGATGTCTACTACAGTCAGCATGAAACTTTACATGAGACATACACCCAGTTCTGTAATAAACATGACATAGAAATCTTGTAGATATGGAATGACAAATGGTTGAAAAATACATTACAACTCAAATTTTGAAATGTTGAGCTCATACGTTGTGGCAGAAGCTCTGTAGAGTTACGTCAACCCTAAGCACAGAAATTCTGTTGCAGAACTGATAAGTAAATTACTGCTCCCCAAACTCGGTGGCACATGTAGAATAATTAATACTATTTGCCGATTGTTACATGCACTGATATGCTCCTTTGGTGTACCCAACTGTTATCTTACTAAAACACCGAAGGGTCTTAGACACTTGTTTTTAGTGACTACAGACACCAGTACTACTAAATTATAAACTTACTGCTCAACAAAATTAAAATGCTTCAAACCACAAAATTAAACAAATTTTGGGGCCTATAGTTTGCTTGCGGACTAAAGACATGGAGTTTGTTTTTTGTTTTGGATGTTCACCCTGATTTCCTGTACCCCCCAAATGGCCCTAGTTGCATGTTACTGATATGTTAAAGGACCTACATGAAGAGGTATTGTGGTCTGCATCCAGCCCACAGGCCATAGGTTTGGAACTCCAGTGTGGCCTAAAAACTCTTGAAAGTCAACTTGAGCCACTTTAACAAGGCTGTAATGCATTCTTTAATCTCCCTTGAGAGGGAAAACAAAATTTAATCACACCTTTGAGTTTAGAAACTTCAAGATCAGGTGCTATTATGATGAGTTTCAGTTTCTTAAGTTGAAGGTACTTCATGACCTCACGAAATCCCAGTACATATCTGCGTCTGGCGAATGCTTTTACAGGATCACGATGGTACTGGCGATCTTGAAACTTAACTATATCCTTAATCAGCAATTTAACGGAACTGGTAAGTGGAACAGTTAAAGAATTGTCACAGTACCTGCACAAACAAACAAACAAACAAATCTGCATTATTTTCGGTTCAACATTCTCTCAATGCGATTACGAAGAACAATACTTTCTGGAGGTGTGACACCATGAAGTCTGATAGAAATTTACCAGTGTTTCAGAGGAATGTGCTGCCTCCATCTTCAGAGTAGAGGAAGAAAATCAAACAAAAGGCAGAGGGCAATCTCTACCAAACTACACAGTGTCATGTCCCAGAAGACAGTGCACTTCACTTCTGCACTACTTCACTAATTATGAGGATATGAGAAAGAGCTACACTAATTGGAAGGGCTTTCAAACTAATGAATAAGCATGTAAAACTTTTCATATCAAACTCAGTTCAGAATACTTACATTTTATTTTTTTTATTGCTAGTGGGGTGGGACTAAGTCCCTTGTACTGCGGCCACTTCTGGCCTATTGTACCAGCCCCAGATGATAGGTGAGGGTGATTGTGGAGCAATTTGTGGAATGAAGATTGGCGAGGGAAACTGAAGTACTCGGAGAAAACTTGCCACAGTGCCACTTTGTCCACCACAAATCCCACTTGACCAGACCCGGGATCGAACCCAGGCCGCTGCAGTGGGAAGCCAGCAACTAACCGCTTGAGCTATGGCGCGGCCAATACTTACCTTTACATCAAGATGCAGCTTGATATCTATGTGACATATATTTTTGTTGATAAAACTTGATAGAAAGCACTGCCTGCCTAAAGTAATGTTCACACTGCTACAGCTATAACAAGTCATAACTGCCCTAATATCCTAAGAACTGTACATCTGTAACACACACGTGACTTAAGTGAGTATTGCAGAATACTCAACCTGAATATGATGCTATGTCAGCAAAACATGCTGTGGACAATTAAAGTTAAAGTAGTGTTGACAGAAGGATAATGTTTACAAAATTACATATGAAATCTATGTAAATATTTTGACATGTCACTAAGGAACTGCATGATCTGACCCAGACTAAATTAAGAAAATGAATTCAAAATGAGAGTAAACTTCATTTGAAGACAAAGCAAGTTCTGAAGAGAACTTACACTGCCTATTTATCTTCAAATTATTTAGTCTATACAGTGTGGCTAATAAGAACTACAAACTTACAATTAAAAAAAAAAGCAGTGATCCATTTCTAGTGAGGCTAAGGCTAAACTACAAGAGCTGTGAAGCCGGAGGAGGTGGGGAAGGAGGAGGATAAAAAGCGATCCATTTCAGTGCACAACTTCCACTAGTACAAATTCAGAGCATATCCAATTTTTCAGATAATTATAAGCTTAAAGGCTTGTATTATTATTACTATGTTCATAATTTTTATACCTACATGAAAACTGTTTCGCACAGAATTTATCAGATTAATGATCCACTGCCATACAGTTCACATGCACAGCCAAAATGGTTTATCTGTTATTGCTACAAGATGGAATGTTAACATAAAATCTGAGTCACTGTCATGCTGTTTTACAATCTACAAAATAAGTGCATTAACAGAAGTTTACACTTTCTAAAGCTCTAGTACCACACCAAATTTCAGAACTTTTTATTAAATGGTACTCTCAAGTTATGTGATATTACTGATAGTATGAAATTAATTGATAAAAGGTAAAGTAACCTCAGTGAAGTGATCATCATACCTAGTGTCATGAAAACCACTAAATTACTTCAAAAGTTACTTGAACTGAGGAAGGGGAAGGCAGACAACAGCCATAATGAGCCCCATCCCTTATAAAATATGGGTTGCAGGCTAACAACTGCTAGTATAGAGAGCTGGATATCTGTGCAGTACAAGATTCATGTGACCCTGTTATTGTACAATGATACATAAATAACGTACATATTTTATTTTCTCCTCTACTGTCCTCTATCTGGACCAGGATAGCATAGTCGGTATAGTTACTGGCTACGGGCTAGATGACCGAGGGGTTGGAGTTCAAGTTCTGGTTGGGTCAAGAATTTTCTCTTCTGCAGATCATCCAGACTGGCTCTGGGGGCCACCCAGCCTCCTATCCGATGGAAACCAGGGGTTCTTTCCCTGGGGATAGAGTGGCAGGGGCTTGGAGCTGACCACTCATCTCTAAATAGTGCTGAGGTTAAGAAAATGTGGATCTATACATCCACCCCCATACCTCTTCATGGTGTAGTGCTTAATTAGTTAAGCACAGGGACAATTTTACCTTTTTTACCTTTACTGTCCTCTATATTCTTGGGCACTGTCACAAAAATTAAACATAAAAATGTTACTTACTCTCTAAACCTGCGGCTATGGATTGAAAATCTCTGAAGCACATCTGTGCAGCTATGTGATGGTGATCCAGAAAGAGCCAAAGTACAGTTACCTTCTCCGACTTCAGTCTTCTGTATCATGTCTTGAGCAGTTTCAGGTCCAGCTGACACATTTTGTTCAAGTGTTTCAACCTGAACATTTGTCATCAAACTCAGGTTCTCTCTTAAATATTGTGTTAAATCTAAGATTTCTGTACTATTTGGACTTTCAGCCTTCTTAACATTACAACTTGTCACTTCTCCAAATGGCACAGTTTCAGCAACACATAAAAAGTTCTTATTCCCTACAGCCTGTTTCACACTGGAATCATTTGTGACTGCATGTGCGTTGCTGTGGACAGTAACATCACCCTGTTCCTGTGAAGATACAGACTGTATGTCCACACTCTGTCCCTGCTTTCGTAACACCTGAAGCTGTTGTCTTACCGCCCTTTCCTCAAGTATTACACTTTTCAGAACACTGTTCTTTTTTTTCTTAGGCACTTCTTTCTTCTTGCCTCGCTTCCTTTCAGGATTTGAAGCATCAAGCTGGTTTCCACAGTACTGATTTGGACTCTCCTTCTTTTGCACCCATCTGTTCACCTTCAACACACCTCCATTCTCCCCTTGACTCTTATTACATTTTGCTGGTTGAGTCTGCAAGAAAGAACCTGACTTTAGATTAAAGTCTTCAGGCTTTCACAGCAGTTGTAGCTCATCTTAGTTCCACTCTCGAGTATGGCACTATGCTGTGATGGGCTTGTCTGCCAATGTCTCGGAGAATTGATTGCTTCCATCTTCAGGGAAGAGTGAGTAAACAGCGGCTCAGTGCTAATATTTATAGCCACAAAGAAATGGGGTATCTGTATAATGATTGATAATAATACAAACAGGTCTTACTAGTGTCCTTCAGTAGAAAACTGACCCTAAAAAGGACCAAAAAACTGCTTTCCTATTGGTTGCACATTCCTTAACCAGAAAGCAGATTTTCCCCATTGCCTTGTGGCCCAGAACTATACACACTGGTATTAGTTCACTATTTAGTTACTTCACCTCGAAGATGAAAACAGCTACGTTTTCTGAAACATCAGCAAAACAAGTCCACCACAGAAAAGTATCTTCTTCACTCTAAGCACTGAAAGAAATTTAATCACAGCTTCATTTAAGATGTCTCTAAGTTTAATGGATGATTAATTCCCTCTATAACAATGCATGCATTTTATACAGCAACTCTGCTTACATAACTGTGATAAAAAGTCTGAAACAAATACAGTAGGCTCTTTATCTTTGTGGGGACTAACCATGAGACTTTATAACCTCTTAGTTATTATGGGTATGGTCTTCTGGGTGTATAAAATGATAATGACATAAAATGATTCATGGTAACAGCGTTGGTCAACAGACCATGCTTCAGTACATAACGCGCGCAGTCACAGCAGCAAGACACAACACAGAGTACAATACACACATGAATGTAGGAAGAGTGCTCCCACAGAGGAGAATTGGCGTGATTCGCGTATTGGGATACGACGTAAGGATGACGAATCCTGAAAAGTTTTAATATTTAAAATTTATTATTATACATGACGAATATATATTTTAGTCATTTTATTATGAAGACATTAGGGCATGCAATGCAGTAGTTAGACGTGCATAGAGATGCACCTGAAGATGGCACATTAGTGCTGAAACATGTAGTGTAAAAGAGAAGAGTAAGGTGAAAAAGTGTGTGCACTGTAAGACGGTTAGCATAAATCATGGACATGAATCTGTGCAACAGGACGCTAAAATATAACCTCTGGATTAAAATGTTACATCATTATCATGATATGTTTGATTAACTTGTTTCATACATATTTATCAGGCCTGTCTCTTAGAATACAGGCATCAATGCCATTCTCTCCCAAATGTTTTGATAGACTGGTACTATTTGGTGTGTGAGTGCTGGCAATACCATTGCTTTCCATTGGCTCTCACCAAATGTCATATTTGAATCCTGGTATAGACTTACAGACACAATAATGGAAATGATGAATAAGAAATTATGAAAAACAAAAAGTTGATTTCAAAATAAAGAAAGAGTGAAATTACAAAATAATGAACCCCATTCTTATTGTAACCTGACCGAACATCATGGTGCAGTGGTTTGAACTTCTTTATACCTGGGTCCCTGAATCAATTTTCAACCTACAGGCCTACTATTATGACTGAGGTGCACTGTGGTATTACCACTCTCTTCAGTAAAATACTGGTACAGTTACTCTAAAATAGACAATAATCACTTCCTTTAGCATCCTTCCCAGTCCGTCATTCTAACATTGGGTGTTGTGTAATTAATGGAGTTGAAAAAAAGCATCATTAAATAAACCACATATCTTATTGTAAACTTTGGAAATTCAAGAGGATCTGAATTATCTAAAAGCTTCATCTACTCTACTCTCCTCTCTAGTACTGCAGGTTCCCTGAACAGTTTCCTTGGTCACGTTCTGCAAGCCAGCATCCAGCATACTGTAGAATCAGTGAACTTCCCCATTTATGTGGATACAGTAACAGGTGAGCAGTGCTGAAAAGTGTGCTTCCTAGAAGTACAATCGAGACATGTGAACTGGAAGCACTGACAAATGCTCTTTTCATCCACTGCTTATCACACCATTTTTATAGCAAAAGAGGCTTTACTTTCAAAAGATTTCAGAATGCTATTCCGTGTTAAGTACTCTCCTAGAGTTGGTGCAACCCTAAAAGTTGCCCCTTGCCCCCTCAGTTCAAAGCAACTAAACTTCCTTGAAAATGCATGGAAATTAACAGAAAACATCCCAGACACTGTGACAGTTATACTTACATGGCTGCATAAAATGTTTAAGATTGTTTCCAGTTACTTGTCACATCAATAAATAGCAGCAAAATGAGTTTTCATTTAACAAAAGGAAGAGACAAAATTAAATAAATGTAAGATAGGTTGCTCCTAAAATCAAACTGCCATATGAGACTGCTGTTATGCCAGTCCTGATGGCATGCATCTCATATAGCTAATAACTAATTTAGTTCAAATGTGGAACAAGATCCATAACATACTCAAAAGAAGATCCAGCATATACTAATGTATGATAAACATAATAATAAAGCCATACTAAAAGGATGCCAACCTTAATCAAGTTCACAAGATCAATCTGGATCGGGTCTTTCCTCTTTTTGTTTCTTACAGACAGGCTGCTTGTTGGCACAGTGACTTGCCCTTCTGCACTTGAAGAATTAATACAGTCACTGTCATTTCCCATATTCTTTAGTTTCAATTGTACTTCACAACTTGGGCTTCTCCTTTGGGAATCATTACTTTGAACTCCACAGGAATGTTCATCTTTTAACTTAATTCTTTGCATCCTGGATTCTTCCATGGTAGGAAATTCCTTCTCATTCATAGCTGGTGCAGCTCTTTGATACGTAGAAAATGACATACTCTCAGCGTCACTATTCATCATTGCTTCCAACATCTTCTGACTCACCAATCTTACTCTCTGACCTTTTGGGGCAAGCATTCTTTTCCTAGCTTCCTCTTCTCGCACTTGTTTCTTCTCCTCTTTCAATGTTCTTTTTCTCTGATTGGATCTCAACTGATTTGAAGAAATCTTAATGTTTCCACTAATTATCTGCTCTTCTTTCAACTGTGGTTGTGGTAAATTTTCTCCCTTCTGCAGAAGTTTAAATGTTGAATCCAACCTGTTACCTGACACACCACAAAACGTCTTGCATGGTTCAGCAGTAGCCAAAAGATTACTGTGTACCTTCTCTTTCTTGCATGCAACCCCACAAACATTACCATAGCTAGTGTACCTCTCTGATTCAGTTGTGTGATTAAGACTACCAGCAGAAGCCAATGGCTTCCCTGAAGTGATATGAAACTGACATATGTTTTTGCTATAACTTTTCTCAAGTTCAACTGCAGAGGAAGAATTATTACACATCCTTTCCTCAGCAGAACTATATTCTTTGACTTTAGATGAATAACTTGTGGCCTGAAGTGGGGTAACTGACATATCACTTTGTTCAACAAATACACTACTGGCAATGTCTGATTTACTTGTCATGCTGCCTATGTCATCACTTTCTTTTACTTCACTTCCTGGTCTGATACCTTCTTTCAATACATGTTCCCTGCCGGCGAATATTTTTGCCAATTTCGATTTATTTCCTTGTTGCTCATATAAAACTGGTTTCCTTAATTCTGGCCAATATGTCTTTGAAACATCAATACTTTCTGGCAGGGCTGAAAAACTGGTTTGAATTTTAACCCTTTCCCCTGGGTCCTTGGGTCTCCGCTTCATTTGAAACTTGTCCATATAATTTAATGTTATGTGGGGAGGAATTTATATTTATCAGACGTTTGTCTACTGCTGCTTAACGTGCAACGGCTCTTCCTGTTGAGTGACCAAATTTACCTTTCGGGAAGACCCTGTCTTTCGTAGAGCCCGCATTGTTTTTTGAAACCTCCATGTTATTTCAACTTTCAGTACCATTATAATTTACAATTAATATTATTATCAGTGATGTTACTGTCAGAGTAACAATATCTTTAAACGTTCTCTATCATTAAGTCTTCTTCGCAATAGTAATAATGGCCCGATATTAACACATGATTTCCGTTAAGACTTCTAACCCTAAATACTTGCTTGGATCAAGAAGCACGTGAGACAATACCAAACACAACACTACAGAACTGGCAGAACTAGTATACCAACTGCTATTCTCTTTCCCTTAATCCATAATCGTCCACGTGATCCACATCATCCAAATTCCCTGACTTCCTTGATGTCAGCGAAGTCGGCGAACGTCAGAACGTCAGTGTCTGGCGTGACCGTTCCGTATTGAACGTAAAAAGTTGCGAGTTTATTTTAAACACTTCCGGTACCCTACCGCCGGTGGGACATTCAAATATATTAGGAAAATATTTCCCACACTATATAGCAATGCGCGTGAGCCTGATGTAAGTGAATTATGTACAGCATTATGAAATTGCACTAAAATATTGCAATATTTATATTGGGAAGAACCTTATTGTTATTTTGCCTAGATATATTAGCATTCATTTCAGGTCTTAAAAGTCGTTATTGTGTTATTTTATAGGTGACACATCTTGTATGTGTACTTAAGTAATGTCTCAATGGCACATCTATTACAGTATCAGCAAATTACCAGGAGAAATGCTGTTAATTTGGCATGGAAAAGAATGGAATATATTTGCAGGCAATGCAGACTTCATAGGTCTAAGACAAAGATGTAAAACAAATCATTGTACAAATATAAACGTATTGTGACGCGTTATCTTATGTCCATCACTGCAAAAACCACTACAATCGGAATGGACACTTCCACGACAACGAATACATGGAAATTACCCCGCCTCCACCCATATGCCTTCATGACATAGTGTTTAATTAGTTAAGCACAGGGACTTTACATTTAACTTACTTCACTAATGAAAAAATTCATCAGAAGGAAAGACACTGACTTCCAAAACCTACAATTAACATATACAAATCTATTATTTTATGTAAGTGTGAAAATTCGTCTCTTACTCTAAACAGTGATACTTACCCTGTTTTGACATGGAATATCCTGATGGGATGCAAAACCTTTGTTAAAGGAATGCTGCAATATCATACCTGCATGACCTTCTGATTTTGAAGGAGGGTAATGATGGTAATGAACCTTTGGGTTTTATAAAAGCAGGAATTTCTTCCAGTGAGTAAACATCAATTTTTAATTAAAACTCTTCTACCTTGTCTTCGCCTTCTTCATTGCTGCTGGCACCTGGCTTCCACCTGTTATTTTAGTTTTGGTGAGGTTTTTACCTTCAGATTCAGTCTTGGCTTTGAAGGATTGTATTAGTGTGTTCCTATGTGTCTAACACACCTCCACTGAGGTACTGAATATTTTCTTCATCCCCTCTGTTGACTAATTCCAAACAAGTGCTATTCAGGTATCATGAGGATCATGATAGGATTTAGAAGAGTTGTTAGACTCTACTTCCTGTGCCCTTAAACATTACACTAATGATGACTGAACTTGGGAGTATGCTGACATGTCCCACTGATTTTCTTCCATGATATGTATGCAGTGTCCGTCTTTTAGTGCACTCAATTTCACTTGTTATTTCACAACATGTTTCGGCACTATAGTGCCATCATCAGGTGCTCCATTTACGTTAATCTATTTCACTGCTTGCCATTATGTCACTGTAAAATTTATATCATGGACGAAAATCAGTGCAACAGGATGCTAAAATACAACATTATGTCCCAGTTCTGTTTGTGTTTTAAGTTGTACTGCAAGTCTTTTTTAGGTTGGGTATCAGAACAAGCAACATCAGGACTGAGCAGTGCACAACTAATGGGACAGTATCTTTGTTTACAGTTCACAATTCTGAGATGTATGAATGATATGTGGTGGCATAATTTTTTACCCATAAGGAGTATGGCATAAAAAAATGAAAGAAAGAAGAGAGAGTCCTTCTGAAATGATGAAAATGTTACCTGTCATTAGACTGGCTAGGTTGCAGCACTTAGAACACTTGTTATACTGTCAAGTTTAATATCTAGGTATGAATGTAGTTGTTTATCCAGAACTTTTAATGTTATTAAGGTCATGTATTTTAGATGTTGTTTATAACAATTTCCCAATGAAATTTCAACGAGTTTTATGGCAGTACAAAATAAAACTCCAACATTTTGGAGACTATCTCCATCAACAGGAACTGACGCAAAGAGTGACACAAACTGGTCAAAACACACATCAATATGTCTTAAGGGCCCAGTGGCCAAGAACTAGCTCGACAGACAGCAGTGGGCAGAGTCAAATGGTTACCCATTCCTACAGTTGACCCAATTCAATGTTGCTCTGACTGGATGAGATGACAAGTGGAAGTCAAGCTGCCATTCATCTTGTAGCTGACAGCTGTGTTGCTTGGATGTTACAAGAATCAGAGTGGTCTGAATTTCTCATTGATGCTAAAATACCATTTTTGACTTAGAGTGAATTCCTCAGCTCTGTTTGGTTTCAAAAGATATGCAATTTACTTAAAATTTTATTTGCATAAAAAATATACACGAAATAGAAATACAGTACCCACAGAAATGATAAAAATTTAAGTTGTTTCACAATTAATCCAGTTTAATGCCAGCAAAACCAACTTCTTCTGGTTGGATATGACCCTGATGAATACGCTGCTTCAGACGCTGGTGATTGTGTTGTACGGACCACAGTGCAGGAAGGTAGTGTGGACACATGGTTGCAAGGAAGTGCTCCCTCCATCTCTGTTCTAAATACATTAAGCCACCATTCTTGGGGTCTGAGAAGTACATCACCACCCGCAGACCATGCGGCTTGTAGTTTCCATTCATCACACTACAAAGCAGACATTGTCATTATTATTTGGGTTCATATAACAACTGTCACCTAGTGTGTGTGTGTGTGTGGGGGGGGGGGAGGCTGACCTGTCTCCAGCTCCCCATGTAAGTGTATTATAAATTTATAACATTAATGTACTGTACTGATGGCAGTCAGTATAGCAACTTCTTCACACAACACAATGAGACGGTACAGAGCGGAATCCCTATTTAGTGTTGCTCAATTTAAGGTTTTCCATCATTTAATATGCAACTTTAATAATCCTAAGTTAGCAGCCTCACCACTAAATTTTTCCATTTCAGATTTTCTTTAGTAGCATTCAAATTCACTGCTCCCCAGAGATATCTTACATGGGAGTTTTACCATAATACAGTAATGTCAGACAGCCTTCCTCAAATGACCGAATCACTTAACTCTTGTACTGCCAGGGTGTTAGACAAAACCTTAGCCATCATCTGCCAAGAAAAGGAACTCCAGCATCAAGGTTAATATATTGCACATAATAAACACAGATGTTCAGTTCTTAAGCAAATAAATTGTTTAAAATCAACATGGATTTAAGTCTGGAGATCTTGCAGGTCAAAATATGCGGCTTAATTCAGTATATTTTCGAACACCTCATTTAAAATATTAACAGAGCAGTTGGCAGCATGTGCTGTAGTACCAATATGCATAAAAACAAACATGCATTTTCTTCTTCTACAGTGCTCTCAACAAAATTGCCAACGTATGTCACTGGCATACCAATCTGAATTAATAGCCTGTTAAAAACATGGGTCCTACTATTTGTGTAGCAATAATGGCATACCACACATCAATTTTCTGATCATGCCAGGGTACTTCAAAATTCTGACTTGCATCACTACCTGTTGTTCTAAGCATTAATATATCCAGAGATGGAATCAAACTACAACAGCAAAAACGCACATTTTGGGTCAAGAATACTGTCATCTACTGCCTGCAAATCTACTTACAAAAATGTGTTCTCCCACAATCACCTTCTTCAGCTGTTTATTATTTTCCTTGGGGTGAGGCTGAGTCCACTTGGTACTGCAGCCACTGTTTGGCCTATAGTACAAGCCCCAGATGACAGATGAGGATGGATCTAGATCAAATGGTGGAATGCAAATTGGCAGGGGAAAACGAAGTACTCAGAAAAACCTGCCCCAGTGCCACTTTGTCTACCATAAAATCCCACATGACCTGACCCGGGCTTGAACCTGAGCCACCACGGTGGGAAGCCAGTGACTAACTGCCCGAGCTATGGCATGGCTCTACTTCATTTACTGAAAACTGTGTAATTTTAAACAACCACACTCCATGTTATTGTGCTGGAACATATGCCTCCTGAGCTAATCGTACTGATCTAATCTGGCTCTAAACTTTTCCTTGGTAAATGCAGCATTCTGTCTTGCATATTTCTTATCAAAGAGAGACACAAATGAACACAATGTAATCACCAATTTGAAAATTCCTGGTGAAGCTGGAATCTGAACACCAAGATACTCACAGCAAAACCTTTTACATGATTTATATGATTTATTTTTCACATGAGTATTGTATAATAAATAAAATCTGATGTTTAAATGTATATTTCCATCTCATTTCAGTCCTATAAAAGAGAACATAATACAGACTTCTGAATTATCTTATGAGAATAGACACTGTGCAATGATGCAGCTGATGGTCTTTATGTTAGCCCATCTGTCACACAAAGCATGTTCAGCTATCACTTGAATATTTTTCTCACAGCTGGGTGAATTCAATTTAGTCGTTGGAGGACTATGTAGAATCCACAACATCCTGTTCACAAATAACGTCTTATCTGTTCCTTATACTGGAACCAAGGATGAATTCCTATCAGGTAACAATTTCTATCAAAATCAACAGAAATTCAAGATTTACTAAGTTATGGTTTCTTATGACCCTGTCTTGGGTAGATTATGTAACAGTGGATAAAATATGGCAGGACAGCATTTTCCGGTTCTCTTTTAACCCTAACACATTTTCTTGCGTGGATTATTCAAGATGCTGTCAGTATCTATACTATATACAAGGGCTGGATAAAAAGTAGTGGCAACACTGCTATAACATGAAAGATGTAAATCAGGTGTCACTAGCACCGTCTGTAGCTGATAGCAGGAGCTCAGTTGAAGTAGTGCAGTGAGTGGCTCTGGTTGGGTTTCATTGAGTTGCATTGTGCATCGTCTTGAAGTTCAGAAGCCCAGTTCAAGCACCCTAACAATATGGTTACGAAACAAGAACAATGCTCCTGGATAAAAATTGAAGTTGCAGGAGGTCATAGAGCACAAAACTGTTATCAGGGACTGCGAGAAGCACGTGGTGATGCTGCTTTGCCATACTGCACAGTGGCACGATGGGTAAAACTGTTCTGTGAAGGGAGGGATGCCATTCAGGACGACCCCATGTCTATAACAACACAATTCAGCTTCTTGCTTCTTTGCTGGATAGCGATCGTCGATAGGCTGCGCGGGAGTTAGCTGCTGAGGTAGGCGTATGCCACAAAACCATGCTCCATATTTTGCACGATATTCTTGAATACTGCAAAACTGCAGTGTGTTGGGTACCCCATACAACATCCGGGGTGCAACAATGGCAACGTTATGCACTTGCACAGGACTTGTTGGACTGGTACCAGAGGGAAGGTGACAACTTCCTTGGAAGGATCGTCAATCTGGATGAAACTTGGTCTTGCTCATAAGAACCACACTTGAAGCGACAATCAAATGAATGGAAGCATCCTGGCTCTCCTCGTCCAAAGAAAGTGCGCCCTACACAGAGTGATGTGAAGGCGATGTTCATTGGGGCATATGACATTGATGGAGTGATACTGCACCACACTGTACCTCAATGACAGACAGTAAATGCTGCCTACAACTGCAAGTTCCTGCGAATCATCTTTGGTCCAGCACTCAGGAGAAAGCGACGACACTTGTTGGCAACAAACCCCATAATCCTCCATGACAATGCAAGGGCTCATACTGTGGATGCTGTCAAGGATCTCCTTCGGCACTGGTGATGGGAGTTACTGCAACATCCGCCATACTCACCCGATATGAGTCCGTGCGATTATGATCTCTCTGCCAAATGAAAGAACCACTGCGAGGGACATGTTACAACACAAGAGGGGAGATTATTCGTGCTGTAGGGTGGTCACTGCTGGACATCAACAGAAGTGGAAGTGCTGTTGGTGTACGACACCTTCCACAAATTTGGCAGAAGGTGGTACACATGGGGGGCGATTCAATTCAATTCAATTCAATTCAATTCAATTCAATTCAATTTTATTTCATCCATGAATCATTATACATGATATGGGACAAGTCAAAGATTAATATTAATACTAATACTAAATAGTAATAAGAATATAATAATACAGAAATAGTATGCCAAATTATAATAAATGATGATGATGATAATAATAATAATAATATAGTAATACAGAGATAATAAGATGACAGTATGATTAGTCTTGAAAACAGTTTCTGTGGTCTTAAATCCTCCATATGTCCTACTGTACCTTTACTGGTGGTAATGCCTATGGAGATTTGATGGAATGAGGATTATATTGAAGAAATGTAAGTATGTTTACCTCAGGTAATAAAGTCGTTTCAGAACTATTGAGGTGTTGCCACTACTTTTTATCCGACCCTTGTAGCATCGAATGGTAAGATGACTGATGAACTGAAAAGGATTTGGGAGGCATGAATATGACCTGATGTATTATCTTGCCATTTGCCTGAAGGAATTGAAGAAAACAATGACACATCTCACTCAGCCGGTATATCAGCAGAGATCAGAACCCATCACGTTTTGAATACAAGTCTAAAGCACTATTTCTAGACAAGACTGTTCAGGGACCAATATACAGCTCAGTAGCTTATGGCACAATACATCATGTGCGTGTGTGTGTGTGTGTGTGTGTGTGTGCGCGTGCACTAACTCACATGCATGCATAAACTCTCCTGATACTACTATTCATATAATGTTATATCTTTTCATTCTTCATTAACTTGCATACTACTTTCATGTGCATTAAACTTCATAGAGAAATTTTATATGAGACTAACATCTTATGAACAAGCCATACATGAGATGTGTGACAAACTATTAACATGTCCAGTCATACAGAAAATATCTGATTTCTCTCAAGAAGCTGTTGATGAGTCATGCAATTCTATACTTTCTTATGTTGCATCATCCAGATCCATGTGCAAGCTGAGATGGATCATTTAACCGTTCAAGGTTATTGGCAACAGGAAGCAGGATGTTAATATCTCAAAATAACACACACAGACCCTTCTTGAACCACAAAGTTTCAGACAAAGCAACCATTGACTCAGATTGCTCCTTAATCTTGTTCATAACTACCACCTGTATGAAACATGGCTTTGGATTGGATAGTTACTAAGCTGCTGACATTTTGTATGTGTCCTGTTATTTTTACTAATCTGCCTTATGATGCTATGAAATGGAGACTTATGACAGTGTGGGTAAACAATTGTGACCCCATCCTCTGGTTTTTACAAGCAACAGTGAAACATGTACAGATGGGGATGAAAGCAGTGAACTAGGAAACAGTATCAATCTGATCACAAAAGAAGTGATACGAAGTGCAAAACTGATGAGAAACCAAATGACTGTATCTTCCATTAATCCACAACACTGAACATAAGTAAACACAGCAGCATGACCTATTTTAAGATCCTGTATCTCCAAAGCCAGTCTCGGTAGCCTAGCGGTCTAAGGCATGCAATGTCTACGCTCGCTCAGAAGCCAGGATCATGGATTCAAATCCCACACAAAGCATGGATGTTTGGTGTGTGTGTGTTGTCCTGTGTTTAGGTACAGAGACCTTGTAATGAGTTGATCACCTGTCGAAGGAGTCCTACCGTATTATCATAACAGGTACTGTTATTATGCCCATGATTTTCTAGAAATCAATTGGCTTTAAGCAAATACTGTATAACCTCACAATATGAGATTTATCAATACCTATGTATTTTGTCCTGTAAGAAATATGATTCTTAACACTTTGCGGACCAGCAATTTGAATATTTAAATCACCCTGGGGACCGGCATTTTTAAACCTACTACCCTAACTTGTGCACTGTTCACATTAAAAATTAATATAAAATCTCCTAATTCATTTTATGAACTAAAATTTTTGTAGAACACTTACCAATGCGTCTAGAAGTGTTTGAGAGCGTGATATTTCTGGAAACATTCCCCTTTGTGAAGTAACATTACACAGAACTTGCAATGTAGACAGTCATACTCCTTTTTTTGTGAACTGTGCAAATACAGCACTGCCTAGAAGGATGCTTCCCCTTGGAATGTTCACTCTTCAAAATTTTCATGAGGGTATGTTTCTGCATATCACCTGAGAGTTACCCAGGGGTGTCCACATGAGGACTGTGTGGGGTGGGAGTTGCTGGGCCCAGTCGCACTAAGTCTGTGCCTGACTCTGGTTCTCCCGCCACCATCTGGTCTGTAGCCCAGACCTTTGCCACATTCATCAGAAATGCTTTGTATTTCAATTTCGAATCAGGGTTTAGATTTTTGTAAAACAAAAATGAATTGAAAATGGCACAATTTATAAGTCACAAGGCAACTTTCTTTGTCCACTTTATCACCTATCTCCAAAAAACAGTTTTGCTACATCAGACACTTGCGTTGGGTCCGAAGAAATTTGTTTCACCCCTGGATTTCCAGTAAACTATCCCAAAGTAGGCGTTTTGTCTACTTTTCCCCATGTGGCTGTCCCCGCAGTTTTACTACCTGAACTTTTGTCAGAGCTACTTTCACGTTTATTGTCTGTGGCCACAATTCTTTGTTGTCCCCTTCACTGTACTGTCTAAATCACTATCACCACACATCTCAGAAGGAACGCCTGGAGAACAAGTCAGATATTGCTTGGTTTCCAACCCCTTCTGTTCTTGACTCATTGCACTAACTTCCTGCTGGTACATAAGAGCTTGAAGGGTCAAAGATCATTTTCCTTTGGAGGGGGAACCAAAACAGCGAGATCAAGTTACTGCCTACTAAGCAAACATTCCAGAATAATATTATGCAGTAGTCATTTCATTTGGGTGGCACCAGAGAAAGGTATAGTGTGTTTCAACATAAGGTGTCCTAAAATCATAATAATATGCCACCTGTCCGCCACGTTTAAAAGCACTGGGCATAAGAATATGCCCCCAGTCGCAAAGTGTTAAAATACATTAAATGAATACACAAATTACTCTTTGTATAATTTAAGTATATCAATGAAATTCTCATATACTTGAAGTGCAGTTTCTAAGGTTCATCTAATTTGGTTAAAGAACTAAAAAGTATACAGTAGACATTTACTGCATCCATTGCTGATTTACTATGATGCTTATAACTGCTAAGATTATACAGAACTGAATGATAGGATTATTAATAAATAATGCTGTGGAAGGAAGCAGCTGCAGTCTAATTCAAATACTAATCTGGCATTTGCCTGAAGAGACAGGGAAAACTACAAACAACTTGGTCAGGATAGCCAACCTCTAAGCTGAATCTGAACCTGGAGCCTTCTGAATACAATGGAGTGTTAAACACTGAACTGTAACTTCAATAAATAAGAATAAAATTTATAGTGCCCACAAGAAAAGCTGTCCTTTAAAGAACCAAAATCAAACAAACCCAAAATGGTCCAACAAAATTAAGCCCAGGTTTGTTATAATGAGTATTATGGAAGTCAGCCCCACAGTGTGGGTGCTGCTGCTTCTTGAAGGAAAAACAAGACAAATTTAGCAAGCATTTCTAAAATTTACTTTTTAATGCCATCTATTAACATTTAACGGACGAATGTCATACACATATGCATCAAGCAGCAACTCGTGTTGGCCGAATGTCTTATATATATGACCCAGGACATGTGCACTCTTTGGGAGTGCTGACCGTTTGATCTTGGGTTTGAAACCAAAACAAACCATGCAAGGTCATGTCAGAGGTTCATAAGTTAGCTCTGAACAATGAAATCGTTTATCTTGGTCCTGGTTTTGAAACTATTTACGTTTATATATGACTTTATTACATGGTCAGCCAAATATAGCCCAGCTTTGTTCGGAGAACTGAAGAGGAAATATTCATTGGTGCTTGCAGATCAGTGCTTCCAGAGCTTTCTAGGAAGTGACATATTCAAGGATTGGTTTTCTGTGGCGACTTATCAGTTAGGAAGTCAGTGTTGGATTGTGTAATATTTCTTTATCACTTAAAAAGTTAGTGTCAGACTGTCATATATTTCTTTGTATATTATTTTTATTTTGTGTCTCAGGAAGAGGTATAAACCCACTGAGCCAGTATTACTTTGTGAGTAAAAGACATCTTCATCATTGTGACTTTTGGTATCAGTGTCGGACTGGCACCTTTTCGACTACTATTACAGTTGTTATTTTTTATTGCTAGTGGGGTGGGACTAAGTCCCTTGTACTGCTGCCACTTCTGGCCTATTGTACCATACTATTACAGTTACTTTGCATCACCATTTTGCGAGTCTTTGTCAATCAACATAATTTATTCGATTTTGCTGGAAACCCTCCTCCCCCAAGATGGAACCTCAAAAACGTGCCCAATATTCCAAACTTTTCGATGCAGAAGAACTGGAGGAAATATTGATGGAAGAGGAATCTGATGAAGAGTTAGAAGATATCAATGAGTACATTGAACCTCGAGCTAATATACTGTCGTCGTCATCATCATCATCATCATCAGGCAAGGCAGAGGAAACAGAAAATAGGTTTTGTGATAGAAGACCCGGGGATTCGCCAAAGGTACTAGACTTCACTGGTCCTCTGAGTGGTATCAACAGATCAGCTGCTCCCAATATAAATGCACAGTCCTCTCCCTTTTCTATTTTCATTCTGTTTTTCCAACAAATATTCCAAATCTTGTTACAAGAAACCAACAGATATTTCCACCAATTTATGGCATGCCAAGATGCTCCAGGCCCTTCTGTTCAACTGCCTGACGTTACAATTGAAGAGATATATAACTTTTTGGTAATAATTATTCAAATGGGCCACAATCAATGGGACACCCTCAAAGATTATTGGTCAAGAGATGAGCAATACTACACTCCATTCTACCGTAACATCATGGTATGAGACCGTTTCTTCCATATTTTGAGATTCCTACATTTCGAAAATAATGAAGCTCCTCCAAATCGAGATGACCCAGAGTATGATAGGCTCTGGAATATTAGAAAAATTTTTGACAATTTCAACAAGAAATTTTGTGAACTTTACAATCCATCAGAACGTCTTGCTGTTGATGAATTCATAGTGTTGTTCAAAGGAAGAGTGATTTTTCGTCAGTATATTCCAAAGAAACGCAAAAGATTTGGTATAAAAATTTACAGGCTTTGCAATTTTTTTCGTATACTTATGACATGACAGTTTATTTGGGGAAACAAAGGCAACTTGTGACAGAAGAAATTACATTGACACATGGCATTGTTCTCCAGTTAATTCGAAGAGTAGAAGGCTTGGGACACAAAATTCACATGGAATGCCACGTGAAATTCGGCCCAACTCAATGAAATTGGAAAAAAGGGGACATTGTTACAAGAGTTAAGGGGCATCTAAGTGTTGTTCGTTGGAAAGACAAGCATGATGTGTATGCTCTGACGAATTTGAACCCTCCTCCATTGGAAGGCAACTTCTGAGATGAATCTGGCCATGCTGTCAAAACCCCATGTAATTGAGGACTATAATGCACATATGGGCTTTGTTGATAAATCTGACAGGATGGTAAACAGTTATGGCATTGCTAGGAGACATGGAAGTGGACAAAGAAATTGTTTTTCCACCTTCTAGATATGACTATTCTAAATGCATATCTATTACACAAGTCAGGAAAACAAAAACGTCGTATTTGTTCTCAAAATAAGAAGCGCAGAAGCACACTCCACTACTGTAAGAAGTGTGATGTGGCTCTATGTGTGGTGGACTGCTTTGAGAAGTGGCACATGCGCGTCAGAGTGTGAGTTATCGTAAACTGTGAAGTGACGCAGTTCAAACTCGCGTACAGTCTGAACACAATATTATTGTATATAGTGTGATTATATTTACAATATCACCATGATTCAAGGTTCAAGAAAAAACAACGGGTAAGTCCTTTGGAATTTCATAACATATATAATAACAGTTATATTTTGCATTTCATGGCAAAATAATCACAGTTAATTTTCATTTGTAAAACTTGCTTTTTTATGTATATGCAGAAAATTTTATTGTCTTTCAGGTTCTTTTTAGTTCATATTTCTATGTTGCATAGAACGGAAAATATGCATTTTTTTTCTGAAAGTTTGCAATGATAATTAATTAGGGCGATTTAAATTCCGGCCATACAGGGCTGCTGGCAATTTAAAAGTCCGTACATTAAAGGGTAAAGCCTGAGAAGGACACAGCTCACCTGACTACAACATCATTTGCCTTCTGCAGCATGTCTCTTGTAAGTTCTGTGCCACTTTCAACGCCAAAATGCTGCAGCACAATCTCCTGAAGCTCTTTCCTACGCATAAGAGGAATTGCGTTTCTACCTGATGATAGCAATGCACGTGCAGCAGAGCGAACACACTTTAGATCTGGCACATCAAGCATCTGAAATAGAAATTTCAACATATTCAGACATGGCTGGAAATTCATCTAACTACCTATGCATCGTGGCCATTTGGTGTGAGGGTCAAGGTCTTGATAACTCATTTTTAAATACACCTTAAAATACTAATATTTTTAACTAACTACATGTTGCAGGGTAGTACTTAAAACTTGATGCTACTCAGCTGGTCAAGAACTTCTCTGATCTTACGCAACTGAAAGGTTCATGATCATATTGATGAATACTTGCTCTTGGACCTTACCCTCAGTTGAGATGAATTCAGTCCATAACGCATTTTAATATTATCCTCCCATTTATGGCTAGGATTCTAAGTGGTCTCCTTCCTCTAGATTTTCTGAACACAATTTGGAATGCATTTCTTAATTCTTCAATATGTGCCATGTAGCCAACCCATCTCACCCTCTTCAATTTAATCAAGTCATGCCACAGTGACAAAGAACCCACTTAACATGAAATATCATGGAGTTTGGACTGATAACTGAATTTACTGAACACTTATACAGCGTAACTACAAATAACTGTAACAGTCCCACTGATTTAGACTCTACAGATCACTACAACTATGTTTTCTATTGCCACCACTATTCATTGCTAGGTAACGGCTGCTAACAATGCAACTCAAAGACTGCATTCTAACCACTCACTCCCTGTGAACTTGACTGGTGTCCTTGGCGTAGACTGCATAGAAAACATTGCTTCCATGGTTTCTCTACTGTTACATATTTATTTATTGCTGTAGACACATTTTCACTGCAACATTGCTTAACAACAGCTGCATCTATTCATTTCACTATTCCAGCTTTCAGCCATCATGTCACAGTATTTTGGTGAGATGGTGTATTATGATAAGTATCCCATTACTGATAAACCATAAGATTAAGTCCTACACCCTACAACATAACAGATAGTTCTGACTCATGGACAAATAATTATATTGGGAGTTTCTGATTATGTGCATGAGTGCTCTAACATCTTCACTTGCTGCATGATTTTTCTTTTTTCATTAATTCACTTCTTTTATCATTGTGTATCAAATGCTGAAGTAATGTAGTGTCAAAAAGATATGCCAAGATCTTTGTGAACATTGAATCATTAACAATGAAGCCTATATTAAGATACTATCCTGGTATTTTCCTAAATGTGATGAGGAAAGCATGAAAAATCAGAAGGAAAAGTCAGAAGGAAAAACCTCCAGCCAAGATTTGGATAAGCTCAGTTCCAAAATGTGGGCCATAGAAGTTATCGTCTTGACAAACTACTTGCTTTTATTCTCACTGTTTCACATGCTATTTTACACTGTTGTATCAAATGAAGTGGTTATTTAACATGAAATAAGGAACACCACCATGACCTTGTAAACTGAAAAATAGATGGAAGGAGGAATTTTGACATCCTGTTGTATCTAACAAACAATAAGCAATTTATTTATAAAAACCATTGGCACGATTTTTCATTATGCTATGTACTCGTTTCTTCTGCTACATGTTTGACCCCAGCACAGGTCATCATCAGGCTGCCATGGCATACTTTAACGTACTGTGCAGCATGGGACATGGTGTGATAAAATAATTTTCACATCATATTTTTTCTCTGTAAGGATTACACTTGTCCTCTTATTCCAATCTGTTCCATTCAAAATAATTCCCTTACAACTTGAGGTAGTCAGTACCATTATGGGGGGCATTTGCAGAAGTCTGTGTTTTTAATTGAGAAAGTGCAGCCTGTGACTGTTCTTAAAAAAAATATCATCAAATCCTCTCCCCTTTAATACTAACACCTGTGATCACTTTCAAATGGAACTGTTGGTCTCTCTGACATTTTTTCCTGCAACTGCTGGCAAACACTGACATGATTCTGCTTACACCAATCAGTCAGTGTAAGAGACAAAAATTGTGTGGCAATCCATCACATCTTAACTGCATGTGTCAAAACTAACTGCCACAATCCTTTACAGTTATGTGTGTGTTTTGATTAATAAATTTTCCTACATTGGCACTGGAGTAAGAAGCAAATGGTAGGGTTCTTTATTGCTAGTGGAGTGGGACTAAGTCCCTTGTACTGCGGCCATTTCTGACCTACTGTACCAGCACCAGATGATAGGTGAGGGTGATTGTGAAGCAATTGATGGAATGAAGATTGGCAGGGGAAACTGAAGTACTTGGAGAAAACCTGCCCCAGTGCCACTTTGTTCACCACAAATCCCACTTGACCAGACCCGGGATTGAACCCAGGCTGCCGCAGTGGAAAGCCAGTGACTAACCACTTGAGCTATGGCGCGGCCCAAATGGTAGGGTACTTATGCTTCAGTATCATGGAATGAAGGCATATAGGAGTACGGGTAATGAATGCTTCAAACATTTCTAACCTGAACACAAGATGCAGGTGAGTGGTCATTTTCCCAGTCTGGCTGCTTTTACCCCTAGGAACTAACCTGTACCTATTGGGCAGAAGGCTCAGTGAATCCAAGAGTCAGTTTGTACATAGTGACAAAGAATAAATCCTTGGTCATCCATCCTGAAAGCAGCCACCTGATCTACCTATCCCGGTTGAGACAAATCCACATCATTGTCATTTCTAATCTGCATGCATGAGATAACTTGGACTTGAAAGGAGTGCATAGAATTTAGTACTCTAAAATGTGTGGAGTCACTACATGAGTTGGGCTTACACACATCTGAACTGGGCTTCCTCAATTCTTAAAGATTACATCTGAGTCTGATGAAATTCAATAAGGTTATTAACTAATTTCAAGGAGCTGAGCCCTTCTTGAGAAGCCACAAATTGTGTAGCCACTCAAGAACTGCATAACATTTTATGGAACCTGAAGGTTCAGTACCGTGTTCACAAGAGTCCTCCACTGGTCTCCATCCTGAGCCAGATCAATCCAGTCCATACCATCCCATCCTATCTCTCTATGATCCATTTTAATATTGCAAGCAGATCAACATTCTCATCCTTCACTAAGTTACTTACAGGTTGGTAACCCCTCTCAAATTCATTTATTCCCCTGTAAAGGTCTCTAACACTTTTGTTCTTACTGTGTGTTGCAAGCTCAATCATTTTGTCTTTCAGGTATTCCTTCTTTTTATTCCTGAAATGTCTGCTTGCGTCACGTCTTTAGATTGTTCAGATTATCTCCATTGCAATTTGGCTTGTTTTCTTTGATCAAATACTTTTGAGCATCCTTTGTCTAACAATGGCTTTTGCTTCTTCAATTCATAATAACTTACACTATCTTTGGCGGAAATTTTGATATTTTCTCTAAGAAGAAGAATGCTTTCTTCTGGGATGTGGCATCATGTAGGTCTTCTGCGAAACGACATTACTCGAAAACACTGGTTCACACATGATCTACATGGCACCACATCCCAGAAGATGGCATTCTTCATAGTCACAGCTGTGAAAACCTCAAACCTTACATTTTCTCCAGCAGTTTCCCAAGCTCTATTAAAATCCACCTCATCATCTAAGTTTTCCATGGTTGTGAAACTGTTGATTTGAAAATGTCTTCGCTACCTTCTTCAGCAATAAAATCTCGTAACAAAAATTTCATGTGGTATTTAGGGAATCTATTGAATGCATGTTCTAGTTCTTTGTAGCACCTGCCATTCATAACATCAATTTTATATCACACCAGTGACCTCTTGGTATTATGTATGACATCCTATCACTAGCAAACTCTACCCATTTAACTGCTGATATGATTCTCTTTTGTACAAAAAAAAACCCTGTCCCTAATTCATGACTTTCATTCCCCTTTCCCTAGAAAAATGTATAGTCTCCTGCTGGTTCAATGCCACCTCTGTCCCTTCTGACCTCCTGTACTCCCACTAAATCTAACTTATATTTTTATATTCCTTTCACAGCAGCAATACAGTTATTAATTTTCTTAAATTAGATTCTGAGCCCCACCACTATAACATATGACTGTGGATTTACTGCTATTACAGATGAGCCCACTTGTGACATGCCTAAGAAGGAATAACGTCTTGACACCAGGAAATTAGCCAAAATTTCAAGGTGTGACCACTACATGGAAGACTGATGAAACTAATGATACAGTAGCATGGCTGACACAAAGTTTCTTTGTCTGCATCAGAAATGACAGTGGTAAACAAACAACACTACAACAGACCAAGTGCATGAAAATATATAAAATAGGGAGGGAAAGCACTGATACAGATATATGGGGAATGTTCCTGGGAAGAATAAAGATGACTTTGTCATAAGGCAACATTTTTTCAGGAAACATCAGTTGATGATGTAGACTTTTCCACCTGCATTCAAATTTGGTCATTCTATCTGATACTCAGCGTTATGCACCTTAACATCATCATAGCGACCGATTGGTGCACTGCATTCAACTGCAAGCTGTTGACGCAGCATCACATCAAAACTGTTGCTCTTCAGGTGGCAGTCAAGACAAAGCAGGAGAACATCATGTGAAATGTGGTCCTTCATCACAACTGCAATGTAAAATTATACTGATGTTAGTTAAACAGAGAATCAGCACCAAAGTAACATTCAAAAAAAGTCTCCTACTATATTAATAATGTTATATTTTAGCATCCTGTTGCACTGATTTATGTCCATGATTTATTCTGACCGTCTTACAGTGCATACATTTATTCACCTTACTCTTCTCTCTTGCACTACATGTTTCAGCACAAAAGTGCCATCTTCAAGTGCTTTTCGATGTACGTCGAACTATTTCGTTGCATGACCTGTTGTCTTTATACTAAAATAACTAAAATATATATTCGTCATATATATTGATAAATTTTAAATATTAAAAATATTAAAACTGTTCAGGATTTGTCATCCTTATGTCGTATCTCAATATGCGAGTCACACCTATCTTCTTCTATCGGAGTATTCTTCCTACTTTCTTGTGTGTATTGTGCTTTGTGTTGTGTCTTGCTCCTGTGACTGCGTGTGTTGTATATTTATCAATATATATGACGAATATATATTTTAGTTATTTTAGTATAAAGACAACAGGGCATTCGACGTACATCGAAAAGCACCTGAAGATGGCACTTTTGTGCTGAAACATGTAGTGCAAGAGAGAAGAGTAAGGTGAATAAATGTATGCACTGTAAGACGGTCAGAATAAATCATGGACAAGTCTCCTACTGTTGAATTCAGAAACTGTTATCATCCCATCTATTTTCCAAAACACTAAAGGAAACAAGCCCCATGCAATGCAAGATGATAAGAAATCTAAAAGACAAGAGGAAGAAGGAAGAGAATGAGGAAGGGAGGAAAAGAATTGCTTTGCCATACACAAAGAAATGGTTCATGAATCCTATGTGGAACCCTCAAGGTAAAGAGTCCAAGACATAACAGAAGTCACAGCACAATTCTGTCAGAAGCTCACCAGGAAAATGTCGCCGGTATTCACGAGGAACAATATTCTTTCGAATATATGACTTGTTGCTTCCACACACTACACAATGATTAGCCTTTTCCTGTGTGTAGTATTGTCCAACTTCATCCACAGCTCGTCCTGATGGCTCAAAGTTGAGTTGAACAGTCAGTGGATTATCACAGACTTTTACTCCCAACTTCTTCAACAAGTACCTACAACACATTTCAATAACCAATAAAGCATGCATGTTTATTCAACATGCTGGTCTATTCCGGTTACTACACAAGGAACAACATACCTGCATACCGTTCCTTGTAGTAATTTCTGAACTTGACAGGGTAGTTTTTCACTAATTTGGACAAAGGTTCCCACCCAATTAGCCTCAATTAGTGAGTTCTTACTGTTTTAAATTCGCTTACTGGGGGGTGGAGTCCAACTGGGTCCACTTGGCATGGCGGCCACTGATTGGCCTATTGTAGCTTGCCCTGGGTAATTATGATGGAGAATTTGGTGGAATGAAGATTGGCTAGGGACACCGAAGTACTTGGAAAAAACCCAACCCAGTGTCACTTTGTCCACCACAAATCCCACTTGACCAGACCTGAGATCGAACCCGGGTCGCCACGGTGGGAAGTCTGCAACTAACCACTTGAGCTATGGCACGGCTGAGGTCTTACTGTACTGATATTTCTATATTTTTGCATACAAAAATGAACCTGGTAAGGCTGATTACAATTAAGACTGGCTAGGGATCAAAATCTATAAGCTGTAAGATTCCTAAGGCATAGACATGCAATATGATTATGTATTTTGGAATAGTGGGAATGTGCAAATGCTACATCGACAACTAGTCACGCAGGAATGGCAGTACTTACTACAAGGATTGAAAATGTGGGATGTAAATTGTACACGAACAGACTTAATCTGATGACTTACATATAAAGACTACAAACTGCTGCAGTGCTCTCTAACCAAATCAAAAAATGAGTATTTAGATTGTGGAAAGAAAATGAACTAGAAAAGGAGTGACATTAAAACTAGGATGAGGAGTGGCTTGAGACCTATAGCATGAAATGTCAACTAAAATATAAACATGCTGATAAATATGCAGAGGGTAATTTCTATGAGCATAGGAAGGCTCTGAAACCAGCCACTGTACAAGTCTCCTGTAGACACAGTATTAGCAGGTGAACCTGGAAATGGATGAAAACGCAATGTTTCAACCTTCTGAACCATTCAGTTCTGAATAGTTTTATCCTCCTCATAGCTTGTAGTTACAAATTATTACAACAAACTTTCAGGCTTGCATTGGTCAAGGGCCTAACACATGAAGAGAAAAAGGTGCCTCAACCTCAGACCACACCCTGAGGGAGACCAACCCCTTGCACGAGCCAAACAATCCAACGTGATATAAAGCATAGAAAACACTGACCCTTGAAAAGAAAATTAATTTGGTCTCTTGCATGTTCCAGAAAAGAAAAAGAAATGAGAACAAAGTTCAAATGTCTTGGAATGTAATGTGGGGTTGTGTATTAGTCCTCACTTCAAGCTACACCATACCAAAGCGCATTGTTGAAGACTGTCTAATGCAACACTGGATAAGTAGAATAAAAATGTGGGTAACAAGACCATTGTCACCATTGTACTGATATCTTCTGAATAATATTATCTTGATGAATTAACAAGGCTAAGGAAGTGTGGATTTTATGAAAGTGTTAAGGGACAAGCAGAGACATCTTCAATGTTTCTTTAAATAGTTCTGTCTTGTTTTGGTATTTCGTGAAATGACAAAGTAAGAATGCCTGTTTGGAGAAAACTATAAACATTTAAAGATTTCTGCTATCATAAGAGGGATGTTAGGCAAGATTACCAATTATAAATGGATGATTAACTACAAATACATCTCCAAGAATTTCTAATGCCTATACAAGCATTTTAGACACATATCGAGCCTAGGAGTCTGGTGCTGGAAAGACAGAAAGCTTAAACTGACACCATGACATAACAAACAATGTAGTTGCCATTTGTCCAGTTACAAATACATATCATGGGACATGGTATTCCTTGTAGACTGTTAGAGGTTAATATTAAAATGAATCTTCTGGAAATAGGTTTTGGGGAATTACGCCAAAAAGAACAAGTAACTCACACCATTCAGCTTTCTTGTGGTCACAAGTGCTGAGGACTTCTCCATCAGGGGCTTGGAGAATACAGTTATCATACAGGGGCTTCTGCCGTGTAGAGTATGCACGTGATCCTGGTTTGATAATATGCCTATTTGCCTGTGACAGAACTTGACCACTTCCATCCTGTGGTGTAGCATGAGCACTTTTTCCTTGTTTGGGCTTGTCTTTGTATTTGACATCAATATAGTTTTGGCACAACTCCACAACTTTTGACCACTTAGGTTGTTTTGGACCCCAGATGTGCCACCATGGTCTCAATTCATGCTTGATTAATTTAGAGAATATGGCAACAGCGACCAGTGCATCTTGAGATGCATACTGCACCTGATGGGCACTTAACACAGGCACTTCCCAGTCACTGCAGCGAATGTGCCAACTTTTATCAAGTTCAATCCCCAATAAATTCTCTGCCATTCCACTAAGTCCACCATGAGACAATGTGCCACTTCGTCGCATCAAATGACGCAAGTCCAGGCACCCACTCACTCTAATGTTATAATCCTGCATTAAGTGTGCTGCATCATCATATGGAACCACACCAACTTTAAAGATTGTAGCATCTTCAAGTATTTCCTGAAAAAGAAAATGGTTACAAAATACTCAAACACAGCCTATAAATCAGAAATTACTTTTTTAATGCCTTCAGTCTCTTGACCCTCTGATCAAGTGGAAGTTGAAGTGCCCATAGGAAGAGATTCTAGTCAATCCCAATGATAGAGTCAAATGTCTCAGTTGATAGGTTACCACTCTTGCTTCCTATTCAGGTGTCGCAGGATTGAAATATTAGCCCAGACACTACCTATCCTGACTGTGGTCTATCAAGGTTTCCCTCAGTCATTATCGATAAATACAGAGACAGTACCTTACAATAGTTCAGAATGATCCTACCGTTCAATAAAAACTGTAAGAATTTTATTGTAGCTTGTGAGACAGTTACATAATCTATGCATATAATGAATTAACCTGTTATACATAACTTTTTCAAGAACTTTAGGGAAGGCAGTTAACACAGAAATAAATAATGTAAATCTTCTTTACATACTTGTTTTACTACTGAGACTTTTTTTATGACTGGATAAAATACTGGCATGTACTGAGAGACTGCAAATGTGACTTAATGGAGAACTGATCAAAAATGGACAGCCCTTCAAAATTTTACTTATTATTTCATCATAACCTGACAAGTCTGAGCCGAGGGAAAGTGTTCTACTTTTTATTCAGTCACTGTGTTTGGAATGATTTTAATCCAAGGGAATTTGTTTGGGAATCAATTAAAAAAAAAAGAAACTGAATCTTCTTTCTTTAGTTGCTGCATTTTTAAATTATTAGCAGTACTCATAAAGAAATTACTGAAAGCATCAGCAACCACCATTAGCACACTTTACTTTCCACCATTTATAAGAAAAGAGCATATTTGTTCAAGTAGGTGTATTTTTCCTGTCTCTTTTCAACCATATCCCATACTGCTCTTATTTTATTATTTCATTATTTATTACTTTACGACTATTATGCTGTAAAGAGCTTAATTTCATTTTTTGATAATTAGCAATAACAGTCAATATTTATGTTGCTGCAAATAAGGAACTCAGATTCCAGATAAGCAAGTAAGTAATAACCACAAAACAGATGAATTTCAACAGTCATAAACACATAATGCAAAGCCGATGGTCCCAGACTCACGTATTACATATCAAAACTGATATTTAAAATATGAAACATTATGAACCTCCCAGGATTGATTCAATTCCAGCTGAACTAATTAAAACACACAAAGCAGACTTTAAGATTGACAAGCTTACAGTCTTTGGTGTAGGAAGATTAATAAAGCAAAGGTAAAAATCTATCATCATTATCTAAAAGTATTATGTTTTTGGACATTACCCATCCTCTTGTCTAATTTTTAAAAACCATCCTGTTTCTTTTTCAAAATACGTTTCGGAGACTGGATTCTGTCCCCGTCCTCAGGTAAAATCTACTCAGTTGGGTCCAATAGATAGAACTAACCCCTATCTCTGGACACCTATGCCAGTTTCAGAAGGGGTTCATACACCAAGCACAACACAAACCATCTGTGAGAGCTAAGAAAATATTCAACTATTGAAGCTCCACACATGAGGCCTTGCCTCATTTTGGGTTTATGAACACCTCATCAAGGTTCTTTGCATCAAACAGCATTTTATCCACAAGGTGACAGATCTCAATGGCTGCTACACTTTTTTTGTAAGACCATCCAAAATATAAAATCACAGAGAACTATTCTCATTAACCCACTTCAGAAACGTCATCCTGATCACGCCAATTCAAATGTTATACCTTCTGCTATCCAATTTGGCACAAAACGTCATGTTACTGCCTCTCAAAGTAGGAATGCAAGAACTAGCACTACAGCAGCACAACCTAAAGGTTCAACACTGCTAATACCATAACCTCAAGAACTAAGAATTCCCAAACATTTCATGTATTCCAAATAAGAACAGAATCGATGTAATATAATGGGGAGTTATATTTTTTTCTCAATTTCACAGTGATGAGCGTGTGCGGTACATGTGTTAGTGTAAATTATATGATGAAATATGGTAATTTTACTGTAATATCTAAAGATGGAAACCAGTAAAGCAGAAAAGAAATATACTGTTTTGTGTAAAAACAAAAGTTATCCACACACTGACTGATACCAGCATCAGAAGCAGATGAGCCAGCTTTACATACTAAGAAGCCATGCCTTGCTTTACTTGGTGAGGGACATGGTAGGAAGCAAGATTTAACTTACTTTAAAGCCTTCTGGAAGCTGTTTCATATGGCAGAGTCGAATAAGAGCACAAAAACCATCCTCCGATGCTAGCTGCATAAGTGCAACTGGTCTACGTCTTCTAGCATCGCTTACCCACTCACAGTCGAAACCAAGAACACGAAAATCTGCACACTTCCTGAAATTAGTTTCTTTTATAAGTAGATTATAGTTTCAGCTCATTGCTTTTATGGATTACTCTTTAAAAAATTGACTGCCTCTGTGGTCTAGTGGTCAGAGTTTAGGCTACAGATCTAGAGGTCTGGGTTCGATTCCCGGTGCCACCAGATTTTCTGAGTAGTAGTGGATATAGAATGGGGTCCACTCAGCCTTGTGAGGATAATTGGGGAGCTATTTCAAGGAAATAGTGGCTCGGGTCTACAAAACTGAAATTAACAGCCGTGGGAATTAGTTGCGCTGAAAACGCAACACACTCTATCTGCTAAAGTTGACACTAACTTTGCTGAAAAGCGGAGGTTGCTCCGTCGGTACAGTTCGCTTGCAGACTAAAACCATGGAGTCTGTTTTTGTTTAAAAAAATCCTACTTTATCTCATATGGCAGATTCTTAATTGGTTCACAATCATGTATAATATGCTCATGTATGTGTGGGAAAGAACACCATAAAGGTGTATAGAAGGAAAACAAACTCAGTGGTTTTAGTCAGTGAGGGAATAGATTGTCTGCAATTTTTGGCACTGTGTCTGAGTCGATAAGCACAGGAACAAGGAAACTGAGCTTTCAGGACCTTCAGGTGAGCACCACTTTGCAGTCATTTGCTTAACACTTGTGCTATCAAAACCCAGCTCTTGTAGGACAAGAATGATTCCTTGGGTAAAATGAGGTGTAGAGTTGTGCCATTCCTGGAACCAGGGTACATCATACCTTCTGTAGGCAACCATGAGGATGAAAAGTTCTATATATCCGACAAGGTATCCCAGGGGGGTGGGTGGTGGTGAGGAATGAAGCATGGGATATCAAATTTGTTTCTTGCAATACTCAGTAGCACTTGTTTTGCATGACAGGCAGTTTGTCATCCAACTGTCACCTGTTAGTAAGTTTCAAAGTTTATTTTAAAGTGCACACTTCTAGAACATATTATTTTCCTTTGTAAACAATGCATAGAATTATTATTAACCTGCTGTCCTCTCCTTCCTCATTTTATGTTGAAAATGTTCCATACAATCTCCAGCTGAAACTTACTGACTTGCAAGGTGACAAAGAACTATACCTGAAGAACTCCAAAGGAAGATGTTCTCGGTATCTGCATCAATATATATTTATAAACAACTTTCTCTTTAATCAAATGGAGCAAATCCAAAACCAGAGTTTGAATGACAGGATGAAAATCTGGGTGCAGTTTAACATATTGCAACTTCCAGATTTACATCAAATTTTGGGAAGCTTGTCAGAAACTTCAAGCAGCATGATCTGTAGCAATCACGTGGTGGAATGGTATTCATTATGCACATTGTAAGTTTCTGATTACTGCAATGTTTAAATATTTCTTTACCTCATTCTGGCCAGATGAAACACTTGCAACCCCTAATCCAGCCCTTCGGCCATAGTTTTCCCACTCCTGCCACAAATCCTGTCATCACAATATGCAGGATGTGAAATGAGCCATAACAGAACCTATCACTTCAAAGAATTGTTCTGTTCATAGATATACAAATCTAGTTAAATAATAACTTCACATTATACAAAGTTGGTAATACGACTGCAAACCTTACAGCTCATCAGCTCTAAAAACGCATTACTTCACTCAAGGAGCTGAGCCCTTCTCGGGAAGCCGCCAATTGTGCAGCTACTGAAGAACTTCCCAGCATTTTATGGAACCCGAAGGTTCATTCTCATGTTCACAAGGGTCTTCCATTGGTCCCTATCCTGAGCCAGATCAATCCATTCCATACCATTCCATCTTATTTCTCTAAGATCTATTTTAATATCGTTCACCCACCTACATCTTGGTCTTCCCAGTAGTTTCTTTCCTTCTGGTGTTCCCAATATCCTATATGCATTCCTCTTTTCCTCATTCATGCTACATGCCCTGTCCATCTCATCCTCCTTGACTTCATCATTCTAATTATACTTGGAGAAGAGGACATACAAGTTTTAAAGTTCCTCATTATGCAGTTTTCTCCAACCTCCTGTCACTTCATCTCTCTCCAGTCCAAATATTCTCCTCAACACCCTGTTTGCAAACACCCTTAGTCTATGTTCCTTCCTCAATGTCAAAGACCAAGTTTCACACCTATACAGAACCACAGGCAAAACTATAGTTTTGTATATTCTACATCTTATTTTTTGACTGCAGACGAGTCCACTGTCATCATGGCATGGCCCGTCCTCAGGCTGCGCATGGAGACGCCCCCTAGGTATGGAGGGCAGCTGCAAATATATTGAACAAGCAGTTGTGGACAGCCAACAAGGGGTGGCACTCCAGCTTGGGGGTTGGGCGTGGGGCTAACCGTAAAAAATAAGCTTGTTACGAAAGATCACAAGAAGCCTCAGGCCTGGATGAATTCCTTGGATAAATGACCTAAGCGAAAACGCTTTACTTACCTTAATAAATTTTCTGCTACAACTTCGCATTCTCTGGCAGAATTTACAACCACAACTCTATCACCAAACGTTCTCAACCCGTAACCGGTGATCTTCTTTATCTTATATTCTCCGTATTTCCGCAAAAAATAAACTACCCCTAAACCTAGAGTTGTCCCTATAATTCCTATTGTAAAATGTCTCTGTTTCCAATACATTCCACTCATTTTTATTAGATCCTATAAAAATAACATAAATGGGTAAAGTCAACCTGCTAAGCACTTCCATCAATCTCTGACCCTGACCGACCCTCTCCGACAAACACGTTTATTCAGCTCATACAGTTAGCCTCATCTCTCGGTTCCGTCAGTTACTACCAGACCCATCACACCACACCACAAACACGATAAATACATACGCTCGCATACGCTTATACTCCCTGAACCAAAGATTATTCCAGTCTACTTCTAAATCGCTCTGATCCCTGATCAGACTAGTAACCTTTGGCCAAATCCGTTCTGTTTCTGTGATATTTCACTGATGTTCGATAATTTATATTTGTTTTTTGTCCGTGGTTTCCTTGGTTGTGTTTGTGTCTTGTATTCATAACTGCACATAACTGTTAATATTTACTATTCTTTTTGAGCTAGTAAGGATGTGAGTGAGACAGGCTGTGGCTCTGTTAATTGGGTTAACCTTATGTATTCTGTTATTCTGTCGTTACCGTTATTGCATTCCGGCAGCTTGTGTTGGTCATCCGTATTCCAGCATTGACAGAGGTTTGTATTAGCCTTTCTACTTATGTATTGTAGCCGGTTATGATGACGTTTTTGCTTTCTTATTTGTAGTATCGTCTTAGTTATTGTTCGGGGGAGTTTGTATTTAGTGTACCACGGTTTTGTGTGCACCCACGGTTGAACTTCTTTGTAATGTTTAGTGTGTGGTGTTAGTTTTGTTTGATCCCATATATTTTGCCATTAATTTTTTATTTGTTTTTGATAATATATATTTGGTCTTGGGTCGTATTGCGTATTGTGTGATTGTATTTTACTTCTTTTTCCAGTTTGCCCACTTCCTCGTTGTATGTTGTGCCTTTATGCCCTGGTATCCAGATCATTGTGCTGATTTCGTTTCTTAGTTGGTAGAGTAATACTTACGGTATACAAATTGATATCCTGTGCTCTGAGAGTTTATGATGTTGATAGTGAATCTGTGGGGTTATTTTCTTTAAATGTGAGTAAAGCTAGTCTGATAGCTATTACTTCGGCAGTATATATTGTGGTAATCTCTGTTGTTTTTTAAGTTACAGTCTGGTATATCGTTGCCAGTATTTCAGAGGAATCGGCATATGGTGACATAAGTTCCTCCGAAATGCTGCTAATGGTTTGCTAGACAAGACGGCGTCATATCTCAGAAGATAGTAACCTTCATAAATTAATTAGCTATCGACATTTTAGAAATGACAAAAATTTTCACTTTCACAAAAGAATTGCTTTGTTAACAGGGAGAATGAATTCGTGATAAAAGGGGTTTGTAATTCGTAGAAGTGCAACATATTCCCAAGTTTGCGCAATGGTGGATTTGATTCTGATTATGGGTTACGGTGATAATGAATCGGTAACCAAATGTCAAGGAAGACATCAAAAGTGTTCGCTTAATTTATCATTGCCACAACTGTTCTCGTTTCTTCCTCAAATGGAAACTTTAACATTAGTACTATGGTTAGTAATTGATTAATCATGTTACTAAAGGTAATCAGTGATTATTACTAAATCATAAACCCTGAGGCCTCTGGAGTATCGGACTATCCATAGCTAGATAGGACATATTCTCTTGAATTCGGAAACATTCCAATGGCCAGTACCCGTGAAGAAGAAGATAAAGAAGATTAGTAATTGATGTACCTTGAAAAGAGAATAATAAAATGTACTTACATGTCGCCAACATTTATTTAAGGTGGCAAATTTTAGAACTGTTGGGTAATTTTGGTTCAGTATGAGATCGCTGGCTTATCAAACCACAACTTCATTGACTTCAGCCAGTTCAGGGGAGATGAACTCATGAAATGCAGTGATTGCACTACACGTTCCTTTACAAATTCCTGTTCTTCAGCGCCCTGTATAGTTATTCGACTGATCTCTGACAGTGTTAGAACTAGTGGAGTAGTTTCTTTGGCAGTTCTTTTCATTTCCTAGACAGAGCCCCTCACAGTAGATTCACCTTTTGACAGGTTCCTACTGTTGTAAGAGGATCAGCCAAGCAGGGTCGCATTGGTCGGAATTGGCTGTTGTAGTGACAGGTTGCATTCACAGGTCCCAGCTCTGAATTAACAGGCTTAGTTTGGAATGGGGCAAAAATAAATACCAGCAGCCTGCAACCGAAATAGACCCATTCTGAAGAGGCAAAATTAAGAATGTTCCTGAGTGTACGCAAATACATAAGAATCCCAAAGTCAATAAAAAGTCCGTCGAGTGTAACAATTTATAGGTCACTTCTTTATCACACCTGCCTTACATGTTTCGGTTTAATAAAACCATCATCAGAGGCACATATTACAAGCCTGAAAACACTGCCGTTGTTTAAGATGTACACAGTTGTTTGCTGCGTGAACGCTGCTACAATACGTCGACGTGTAAAAGCACAACACTTGTTAGGATTGTTGAATGCACGATCAATTCTCACATTCATCCAAAGCTGCCCTCAAGTTATAACGCCAAATTAAAATATTTAAAATTTAAAACATTTGAAGTAAAATGTTAGGCTCCTCCTTGTTAATTCGTCCCGAAGATGGGAGATGTCAGCTTGAGGATGTATGGCTTGTGGTTAGATGTTTCCTAAGTGCTGTGTGTTGTGTACTGCGGTACACTCCAGGGAGGAAAATCTGTAGGTAATGGAGCGAATAAGGCCTAAAAGCTCTATGCATTCACAAAATAAGCAATTAAAATATGTNAACACTGCGTTTGAAATTGTTTATAAAGCCGGGTAAAACCGACGTGGAAAAGAAGCACCGATACAACGTTGTGGTGGCCTTTGGATTTGGTGTGAACTATAAACTCCATGGAGCAGAGAGCTTCGTAGAAAACTAATTGCCATTCAGTTATGCAAGATATTTCCTGCCTTTTACGGACCTGAAATATTCATTAGCATGGTCACTACTCGCCGATCACAGTAGCTGCGCGATCTAAGAGATAAACTGTGTTCGCTTGCCCAAACACCGGGATCGTGGGATCGAATTCACTCAAGGCATGGATGTCTCTGTTGTGTGCCTTTATTCTGTTTGTGTTGTTCTGTGTGTAGGTAGCGACCATGCGACGGGCTGATCCCCCGTCCAAGGAGTCATACCGACTGTGTAANCTATGCATTCACAAAATAAGCAATTAAAATATGTGTGAAAATATAATTTTTTTAAACAAAGAAAACACCTAGGACCTTAATGCTGCAGATGGGTGTAATGGTAGCATGACAAAGCTGATACTCGTAACTCAGAAAATTTGTCTGTCTGGAGTGTGACACAGAACGCCTTTTAGCCTTATCTTCTATCTACACTGTGCTCTGTCATGACAAAGAATTGAATTGAATTAAATTTTTGTTATAGTTCCTGACAACAACAAAACTAGCCCATAAAAGCGATCACTACGAAAATATTGTTTCCAAATTGTTTATCTTTAGTCATATTTTTATAATGGTGCTTTCTTAATTATTAAACTAATATTTATTTTTAACTGCATAGTACTTGCCTGATTGCATTTATGGGATGTTTATTATTGTCTAAAAGAAAAAAAAAANGGCTCAAGAGACAGAAAAGGCTGTAGTCATAATAGTAGTAGTAGTAGTAGTAGTAGTAGTAGTAGTAGTAGTAGTAGTAGTAGTAGTAGTAGTAGTAGTAATAAAAAAGTAAAAGTAAAGCTATCCCTGTAATAGGCAGTGAAGGCCCATAGGGTTGTGAGACGTTGAGGGTCCCACATTATTTTTTTTATTGCTAGTGGTGTGGGACGAAGTCCCTTGTACTGCCGCCATTTCTGGCCTATTGTACCGTCCCCAGATGATAGATGAGGGTGGAATGAAGATTGACAGGGGAAACCGAAGTATTCGGAGAAAACCTGCCCCCGCACCACTTTGTCTAGCACAAATCCCACTTGACCAGACTCGGGATCGAACCCGGGCCGCCGCGATGGAAAGCCAGTGACTAACCGCTTGAGCTATGGCGCGGCCAAAGGGTCCCACATTATCTAGACAATCTGCTCACAGATGGAGGTAAGGTTGTCAGCCTTACGCGCCGGCCGCGCTTTACACCCCAGGAAAATTATTTATTAATTCCTGGTAGGGATAGCTTTACTTTTTACTTTTTTACTCATTTCTGTTAGAGGCTGAATCGACCCCAGGGCCATAGTGCGGCTGGAAGTATTAGGTCAATTGAAAAACTCCAATTATTTCATCGGGACTTGAACCCGCAACCTTCCGGCTTGTAGCATAGTGCGTCAACAAACCACGCTACCACGTGCCCCCTAGTAATAATAATAATAATAATGGTCACAACCCTTTGCATAATTAAGCAATCCTCAACCAGTTTGTCGATATGTAATATGAATTGTTGTAATGCTTGAGTGGTAAAAGGTAAAGTTGTTCCTGTGCCTAACCAATTAAGCACTACGCCATGAAGGCGTATTGGGGAGTGGATGTATAGAACCACATTTTCTTGACCTTGAACTAGCTGGAGGTGAATGGTCAGCTTCACGCCCCGGCCGCTTTACTCCCGGGGAAAGAGCCCGCAGTACCCACTGGATAGGAGGTTGGGTGGGCCCCAGAATCGGCCTGGACGACGTGGAGAAGAGACAGTTCTTGACCCCTCGATCGTCCAGTCCGTTGCAAGTCGGTATACCGACTACGCTAACCCGGATCCTGTGTTTGAATGGTTCCATCTTTAAAACTCTTAATGCGTAAGACAAAGGTAAGACATTAAAGCGAATGTGACATTGCTTCCAGGTTACATAGTAGAATTAATTAGTGATTTGCAACATGCGATAGTAAATGCCAAGGGCTTTGCAAGCGGTGACGATAAAACCACTCATCGTGTGCATTGTGTTTGTGACGCGTGCGTGTATGTATTGCCACGAAGCGGTTATTGCACCATAAGCTAGACTTCTTGTGACAGTTGAGTTGCGAAGTTATTGATACTGAGAAGCTTAGTTAGATGTCTGGTTTTGCCGGGGGTACTTAGAAGTCCGTTGTACTTATTATCGAAGGAATACTGATTCATTTGTACGTATGTTGTGAATCATTAATTTGTTTTAAGTTCTGATACGTTGTATGAAATTGCTATCGAGTCTAAAGTTTGCCCGTGCTTGTACCCAGAGTCAGGTAGAAGGATGTGTTTCACAAGAGTTAATATTGCTTTTTCATTCACTATAGTATACCGAAGGTAACGTGATCTAAGTTCATGCCATAACCCAAGCCGTTAGGCGCCGGCTTTTGATCTCGGGGCAGTTCATACAGAATCTGTGGTATAGAGCAGTGTTTCTCAACCGCCGGACCCTCATCTTATAAACAAAGAATTTACCGGGCCGCGGCCTCACAAAGATTGAGAACCACTGGTATAGAGTGCTGTATTGATGTACTGTTTTCATAGAGCACTGCGATTTTCCCGTGCCAGCCATTCCAGCAAAGATGTGTGTTCATGTACCATCAGGGGCTGGTACAGTGCATCTCGGGCTGTAGAACAAGATGAATTTGGCACATCCCATTGATACGACCAGAAAAAGGAGATGAAGAGGGGGAAGGGGAACTTGATTTAATATCGTAGTTCTGATGGGGTGGACATAAATTGTATTACGCGAGAAAAGAATATCATTGTTATTATTAGATATCACTATTCCACTCCACATATGCCAGTTGTTAAGTATGGTTACAAGGCTATTATTTTTTTATTGCTAGTAGGCTGGGACTAAGTCCCTTGTATTGCGGCCACTTCTGGTCTATTGTACCGGCTCCAGATGATAGGTGAGGGTGGTTGTGGAGCAATTGGTGGAATGAAGATTGGCAGGGGAAACCAAAGTACTCGGAGAAAACCTGCCCCAGCGCCACTTTGTCCATCACAAATCCCACTTGACCAGACCCGGGATCGAACCCAGGTCGCCGCGGTTGAAAGCCAGTGACTAACCGCTTGAGCTATGGCACGGTCGTTTCAAGGCTAAGTGACAAACAAAGAAAATGCTTGGCTTAGCAGCCACAAGTCAGAAAATCGGATATACTCTGTAATTAACTAATTAAATTAATCCTGCATTTATATTTAATGTGGTTTTTTAATTTCACACTGGTCTGTTTAGTTGTTTGGTTTTTTCATTTTGTTTTACCCATATGCCCCAGTACCTTGCTTTGAAGGTATATAGGTTGTAAACATCATGCCCTGAAGGTCTGCAGGAGGCATAGCAGTAAAGCACAATGCATTATCAGCCTTGTTTTTAAATAGAGGTGAACGTTTAGCTTCATTAGCAAGCCACTCTTTACACAATTCTTCTGTTGTTTGTTCATTGCTGCCCTAATGTTTTTACAGAGCATTGCCTAGAAACAGTAAAGGGATACACATATAGACACAGACTGATGGTAGGGATTTATGAAGTATGCCATTAAGATTGGTTCAGGTGCTATGATATAGGTACCAAGTTTCATAAAGATCGGTTCAGCCATTCAAAAGTTGATGGGAAGGAATAGATAGACACAGACAGCATGGAGATCGCATAAGCCTACTTTCATTTTTTCAAAATAAAGAAAGCAGGCTAACATGGTAACATCCCTTTACTGTAATTTGATTTGTTACAGACAACAATGGTGGCAGTTGGATTGGTACGCAGGTTACTGCAGCGGGCCTCCCCTAGGAATCTCCAAGAAGCAGCATTAGCTGAACGATGTATTGTTGTAAATGAACATGATAAAGTGATAGGAGATGCCAGCAAACGAGACTGTCATCGAGTGCACCCTGATGGGAACATCATCCTGCACAGAGCTTTCAGGTTGAAAATCTTGGATAATAAAAAATTAGGTGCATTATTGTCCTTATAGATGGGGAACCTGATCTCATGTACTATAACCGTACGCCCCTCGCCAAAATTATTTAATTAAGGGTATGCACAACTTATGCATTGTTTAACACCATGAGATACGCTCCTCCGGCGAGATACCGTCCCGGGACCGTCTAGTTGTAATTCAGCTATTGTCCTCCTTAGGCTTAGGGTTTCACTATTGTACCTAACGTCGCCAGTTTGCTCCTGGTATCAAAAACCCATAAACTGACCTTGTGCGAGACCGGCCAGGAGGGGTCTTGGGTTCCCTGCTCGTGTGCCTTGAAGACCTACGAAGGTTTATGGGTATTCCCAAAATACGGATGTAGGACAGATGTCGGGCTCGACCCTTCGCTTTCTCTTTTTATGTTTCTATTTTTCGTTTTTAGGCCAACTGGGGGACTGGTAAAGAGAAGGAAGTCGGTTATAGGGAGCGGAAGAGGACAGTTGTTGAAAGATACGGAGAACAGAGAAGTGTTCTACAGTAGTGGTAGCGAGTCGGCGGATGGAGTGGCTAGGTTGGAGAATAATGTAAATATTGAAGAAAGTCGTCTTCTGGGTTTAGGCGCCGTGTATTCTTCGTTTTGGCCGACGTTTCGGAGGAACTGCCATTCAACTGCTCTGAAGATGGAGGCGATACGTTCCTCCGAAACGTCGGCCAAAACGAAGAATACACGGCGCCTAAACCCAGAAGACGACTTTCTTCATAGTCATCACCGTGAAAACCTCAAAACTTACAATGTAAATATTGATCATTAATGAAACTTTAAATTAAAACTGCAATCCACGGTGTGTTCTGGAGCCCCCGGATTCATTAACCTCGAAGTGTGTTCCACTCCCATCTCCGAAGCACCCGTATCCCTGTGATAAAGAACTCAAGCTCGAGCGAAAGTCGTGGCAGCTGTAAGTCGGCGGACAACTACAATACTGTGAAGGGAATGTATTGACAACAAACTGCTGAGGAACATTTTGATTTTGTGTGAAAGGTGAAATGACAGGGGAATGCAGAAAATTACTAATTTATACTCATAATTTTGTCAGAGTGGTAAAAGCAAGAAGAATAAGATCATGAATATAACATAAATGGTAGGAGTCTTTAGATTATTTGTCCATGGTTTTTCACCTGCATTGGCAATACTTTTTTGAATGCTGTATTTCATTTGGAATGGCTGCGGAACCTGGCAAAGAGTTACAGAACCTTCATAAATTTGATAACTAATAACAGAGTAACAAGTAATATGCATATAAACTATAGTAAAAAATATATACAAGAGTAAAGTTTTGTGGTATATAAATTATCTCTTAAATTGGAAAGATTATTTTAGCACCTGTTTTCAGTACTGTCCCTTTTATTTCTAGCTAATGTGAAAGTACACTACACGTGAAAAGTCATATATTCTTAGATGTAACACTGTGTAGTCTGATGAAAGTCAGCCAGCATTTCAGAGGAGCATATCGCCTCTGTCTTCAGGTTCAGATTAAGCTAAGCAATAAACCAGCATGAAGCAAGAAGAGCGATGTTCGACTGAACCGTAGGTTGACTTTCACCACACTATACATTATATCCCAGAAGATAGAAATCTCCATAGCCACTTCTGTAAGAACCTCAAGTAACTGTAACTGTGTCCATTTTGGACTCATTTTAAAGCTAATAAAACGTGTCCTTATGAAGTATACATGTATAAGTTTAATGTAGATCAGCTTCAGGATCACTGAAGTATGCATTCGACCTTGCATTGCTCAAAATATGTATCCTCATAGTCTAAAGAAGAACAAAAGGTCTTTCTAGTACCATCCTACACCACATAGACTTTGAAAATTATGTTACACAAAAGGCATGAGGGGTAATTAACTGAAAAAACAGTGAAGATGGTATTTCATGTTGAAACACATTTGCTATTCTGAAAGAGATAAAATTGTATGGGAGTCAGTAAATAGGTCACAAATGGAAATAAAACAGCTCTAATGGAAATAATAGGTTTTCTATATCATTAGGTAGCAGTACAGCTCAGTTTCATGACAGTCCAGGTAGCAGGCACGTATATGTATGTTCAGAGGTTGGTTTCAGTAGTCAAATTGGCGATCATACTTTATGATGTACTACTGAAGAGCGGAATTCTGTTGTATGTTTTTTTTTTGGGGGGGGGGACTCAACACAAAGNNNNGGGTATTCATAAAGAGCTGTTTCCTGTTTATGGTGGGACATGTTTGTCACGTAAAGTGGTCTGCAGCTGGGTCAAGAAATTATCTCAAGGATGTTCAAAAGTTGCAGATGATGTCTGACCAGGTCACCCTGCTGAGATTGCAACAGAAGCAACTGTGCAGCGGGTGGAAGAGTCAGTCCGAGCTGACAGGAGGATAATGATAGTGTGGCAAGTGCACTAGGGTGTTCCCATGGTTTAGCATACAGCATAATGCATGATCATGTGAAGTTTCACAAACTGTACACTTGGTGGGCGCCCAGAGAACTGAAGGATCAAGAAAGAATAAACCGAATGAGTCTGTCCTTGCAACATCTCTTACGGTATGCATATGAAGGAGAAGATATGCATAAGAGGATTGTTACTGGGCACGAATCATGGGTGCATCACTACCAACCCAAGTCAAAGTATGCTTCAGTGCAATGGAAACATCCCAGTTCACCTTGAACGAAAACACTTGAAGTTTAAGGTTATGCCATCAGCTGGGAATGCTATGCTTACCATGTTTTGGGATTCTCAGGCAGTACTGTTGGCCCATTTTCAAAAGTGTGGTGAAACTGTGAATTTTGCATTGTACTGTGATATTCTGTTGAAGCTTGATACAATTCGCAGAAAATGTCCAGGCCAACTGGCAAGAGGAATACTGCATCATGGCAATGCCAGACCCCATACAGCCTGAGCAACCCAGGAGAGAATTCAAGAACTACAGAGAGAACTTCCTGAACATCTGCCTTACATCTCAGATTTGACCCCTAGTGACTGCCATCTGTTTGGTTCGCTAAAGTACCATCTTTGTGACAGATGTTTCGCTGATGATGAAGAGGTTGAAACAGGTGTGGAAGTGGCTGAGACAACAGTCAAAAGACTTCAATGCTGCAGGTTTTGATGCAACGGTAAAGTGATGGGACAAGTATATCATCAGTGTTGGTGGAGGATATATCGAGAAATAAATGTTTTTTCCTGGTAGAATATCGCAAGTTTTACACTTCATACATCAGGTGTCCAGATGAAAGATATCCAAAATAAAAAAGATTGTATGTTGGAAAGTAATCGTCACATACGTATCTGGTTTATGTCATCGGAAAAGAAAACCCCGTAAGTTTCTTTTCCACATGCGGCTTATGCGCATGTGCTGCCACATTTCTGCCACCATGTCAGGAATCATTTGGACAGTGATGGCTGGGAGACAGATCGGCAGAAGTGGATCAATCAAAATTCAGTGTGGTTATGTGAAGAACTTTGGCTACCAGGTTAAGATCAGTGACCTGCAACACCTGAAAGCCAGCATAAGGGACATTGTAGCTATGGTAACACCAAATATGCTAGATCGTCTGGATATTTGTCATGCCACCAAAGGAGCCCACATTGAAATTTATTGAAAAAGTTACATATTCAGAAAAAACGTTGATAGCTTCCCTTTGTAGTGGTGTAACCCATAAATATGTATAATAAAAGCTTCCTGAGATATAATTTTATTTTGGATACCTTTCATCTGGACACCTTGTACATTTGTGACCTATTTACTACTCTTCCTCATGTAAAGTGTTCTAGATGGTGTTAAACAAAGTTGTATAACAAAAATGATGTTACAAAATTACAAATATTACTGGCTATAGATTTCATACATCTGCCAAGTTACTGCATTGGAATGTAACAGACTCTGGGCATTGTTTAGGTATATTAAACATCAGAAATATACTTGTTCTGGTGCTGATATGTTTTAACCTATTAGTTTGTATCTTTCAGTGTGTTTCTTTTCAACTCTCAAAATGAACTGCTCCTGCAGAAGCGTTCTCCCCAGAAAATAACATTCCCTAGCTGCATCACCAACACATGCTGCAGCCATCCCTTGTATGAGATAGTAGCAGAGAGGGAAGAAACTGATATTCTAGGGGTATGTGAATTGGATACTTGAAATTGTATTTTATATAACTAAGTGCACAGGGCAAAGTCTTAGCAAGCTAACAATTACTCAGCTAATTAAAACATTTCTTGTTTTTATGTAACCTTCAAAAAACCCACTACTGGATTCTGCCCTGTGCTAGATTAATCCATGCTATATCCTCAAACCCTGTTTCTTTTAAATACGTTTTAATATTATCTTCCCTTCTGTGTGTAGGTCTCTTCTTTGGGTTTCTGACCAAATCTAATTTCTCACCAAACTATTTGTGCTATATGCCCTGCCCATATCATTCTCCTTGCTTTGATTATCCTGGCGAGTTGAAGAATTCATCATGTCCCCCAATGCCAAATCCATACTCCCATATTACATTATTTATACTATATATATCAGTGCAGATGTCATACGATGTCTCTGTTGTTACTGTTTCCCATTTGAGCTGAAACAGAATGCCACAATTGAGTGGTTATCAGGTTTTATATTCTGAAGATCCTGAGTGTGAATCCTGAACCAGAGACCAGTTGTCGTGACTGAAGTTTTTCGTGTTTTCTTTGGTCACTTGGTATACTGGGGCAGTATCTTAAAATATGTCACAAGTGCTTGTTTCCAAATCCTTTCCAGTTCATCATTCACAGTAATCCTATTTGACCCCATATAACATATGCAGTTGAAAATCTCTGATTAATTACAAAAGAATCAGTCAGGGTCTTGAATTTGATTGGAACATCTGCTTTGTGTGGCAGGTGCGTCGAGCAGCAGGACGTCGTCTAAATTATGAGTTGGGAATTCCTCTGGAGGAGGCAGGTCCTGAAAGATTCCAGTATCTTACCCGGATACATTACCGTGATCCTGGAGATGGACAGTGGGGTGAACATGAGATTGACTATATATTGGTTTTGCATGGCAATGTCACTCTGGATCCAAATCCTGATGAGGTAATTATATGCCAGGTTTTGTGCTGTCAATAAATGTTTAAGAAATGAAAGAATGCAAGTACAGCACCAGATACTTTATTCACAAACTACAGAATAAAACATAAACTTGTATTTGGAATGATTGATGAAGACTTGCATAACTTGCCAGGATAGTAAGTATAACATTCCATAACAGTGAGAAATAATTATTACCATACCTACAGATTATTGAAATGGAAAAAAAAAGCAGTCTCCCGGGATGTGGCACTGTGTAGATGTGGTGTTAACCGACGTTTTGGAGGAACGTATCATCTCCATCTTCAGGGTAGAAGGAGAAATAAGAAATCTGCAAGCGAAGAGACCGTGAGAACCGGTACAAGCAGACTGCTTCAGTCTCTTTGCTTGCGTATTTCTTGTTTCTTCTTCTACCCTGAAGATGGAGGTGATATGTTCCTCCAAAACGTTAGTTAACACATCTACACAGTGCCACATCCCAGAAGACTGCTTTCTTCTTAGTCACCGCTGTGAAAACCTCAGCTCTGAAAAAAGATACTCCAGCAATCTCATGAAGTTAATACTGGTAATATAGCAATAAAAATAAATAAAAATAAAATAAAAATAAAAAAAAATAAAAATTACAAACAGGAAACAGCCAAAACCTTCAATTCAGAATTCAGCTAAGTGAGCAGTGAGAGCTGAATCGGGTACCTTATCACATGTCACTTCTGCTCCTACTTGGTATATTTTTTTTGCATGCTCCGTGATCTGTCCCTTTCATCCCCTTTGATTTGATTACAGTGTGAGGTGAAATGGACAATTTATTAAGCTCTTCATTAGATAATGTTCCCTGTTCTCTTCTTGATTCATCTTTCTTAAGTGCAGGTATTCTCAGTACTAACCGGTCTGACAGCTGTAAGCCATCATCTTCCTGAATGGCTTGTTGATATTGAAAACAATAGGTCCAGAGCTGATTGGGTTACAGAGCCACAGAATGGAATTATATACAATTTTTTACTGTTTTCAGGTGGCCGAAGTGCAATATGTGGCTCATGACAAGCTGGACAATTTTCTCAAGAGCCAGTCTGCACCGCTCACGCCATGGTTTCGTCTCATTACCCAGCACCACCTCAGACTCTGGTGGGATAACCTCCATCAACTTCACAAGTTCCAGGATCACTCAACAATCCACAGATTTTGCTGATGAACATGCTATGCATTCCTTAACAAAGTTCATTATGTAATTGTATTGCAAGACTGAACACACGTTACCAATATATCTTAAATAACATAGCATAAAACATTCGTACATGCAATTCTAAGATGTTTTCACATCTAAGTCTGAAACATTTACAACTCTTGTATCTGTTCTCACTTCTGCTCTTTGTATGTCTTCCCTCACCTCATGCTTCATGTCTATGAAAGTTCTTTATTTGCAGTCTTCTCAAAGGATCGTTTTTGTTATGCATGTCACACATCCATAATTCCACCAGCTTTTCGTGTATGTATACCCTCAAATATGGACTAATGAAAATATTGTTGGGTAAAATGGCTAATATCCTATTAATGACACAGCTGGGAATTCTGTCTACTGCAAAGTATTTCATTTCTCCACTTCTTTATTCGCCAAGAAAATATTAACCACGACTCTACCAAAAGAAGAAGACTATATGTTGCTATGGTGATGGTTGTACTGAGATTACTGGAGATGTAAACATTACATGATATTACAAGTAAAGTTCAAGTCAACTCACAGAAATATAAATCACAGTTTGAGTGTGTTAATATCAAAAGAGCACTTGTTTATCTGTGCACAGGCCCAGAGCCATAACCAAGTGTATTCATGTTGATCTGATATTCTAGATTAAGGAATATAATGGAGCTATATATTGTGACGTGGACAGCGCAACGCTTGGTAAACACACCCCCCCAGCGGTGAGGTAACAGCATCGTAGCAACTGCCACTGCTCAGGCCATCAACACTCCATCCCCCTCCCCTGCAGTGATGTAACAGGGGACACCACGGTTATTACACAGCAATAAACAACTCTTGGCAGCGTTCCCCAGCAACGCCTGTAAACATGGCATTTACACAACAGTGAAGCGATGTGGGTTTTCCGCTGTCTGACTGAGGGTTTATAAGGGAGACTGGAATGCGTGAGGAGTCAGTTGCAGTCTAGCATTCGCCAGAGTGAGTTGAATGCAGTGACACCAGCAGGAGAAGTAAGTGTGATACTGCAGATGGCAGTAGTGGTGTAATTGTGAGAGCAAGTGTTCAATAAATTCACTATATTCAATACGGCATGAAGTTATTTGTCGCGTGACCTACCCAACACATGACAATTTGATTGTCACATGCCAGTACAAATATTTTTCAGACCCACTAGTCACACTGACAGTAAGTGTCTCTTAATTTGTTGCTGTGGCAAAAAGAAAAAAAAATTTGGTTTGTCAGAGATTACTGGATTTCTTTTTGGATGTATGCTTGGAAATCTTTTCATATCATTCAGCAGTTTTAGAAGACACAGTTTGAGAACTGATATTATATAACAAATGTATCTGATTTTAAGTTATGAAAAGCAATTTGTATATGTGTAAACAATGTATAATAGTGTGGAATTTACTGAATTTTTGTACGTAATAAAGAAATATATTTTCGCTTGATTTGGAAAATTAAATGGTCTTCCTTATCTTATTGTATTAAATGGGTACCATATTTAACACTATCGATGTCTGAAGATGTTCTTGGGAAAAATAATGCAAAAGGGATCAAATCACAGCCATAGTACAGGGGTAGACTTGAATATATCCTCCTGCTGGAGCCCAATATCTCACACTGAAAAAGAATAACAACTTATTCCAGTTTCACCTTCATGCAATATTCACCCTCACAAGATCCAATCTAGAACGTCCTCATTGGTTTTCTTTGCATTTCAATTGCAGTACTCATAATAAATGCTGTTGATTTTTTATCCTCTAAAATACTTCCAGGCTTTGATTCCACAGTTTTCACTGGTTTCAATTTCACATAAGACTCAGGTATTCAAATTCTGTATTGCAGTACTGGTATAATGGTTAGAAGGTATACTTTGTATTCCAGAGATGGGGTCAGAGACTATGTACGTTGATGGGTCTTTGTTATTTTCCTCAGTTCCCATCTTAATATACCATAATAACTTCTATACATCCTCTATATTCATTAAAACTGTAGACATGCAGCCTCCTCAATGATGTGGGTGTACTTGTCCACAGTGCGTCTTGGAGGCAGCACAGTGCTTTAAAATACTGACCAGTGCTCTCACTAGGTCAGTCACTGGCCTGGAAAAATGTGGTATGGTTTAGGCCATGTAGTAGAGGCAAGGAGAAGGGTGAAGGGATGCATGTCCTTAAATGAACTGTTATGTCTGAGAAGAAAGATGGGAGCCGTAGTGATACAAGGTATCCAGAGAGGGAAGGTAAGAAGCTGGGAAAGAGAACCCTAGCATGGGAGGGTTGAATGACAAAACCCTGACCAGGGATGAGGCATGTGAATGGAAGATGGGAAGGATAGCCCTCATATGGGTAGAAGGGCGAGACACTGACAGGCTGGTAGAGTATGGAGATGGATGAAGGGAAGAAGCTGGGAAGGAAAGCCCTGGCATGGGGGGGGGGAGCTGTGAAAGAGCTCTAACATTGGGGGGACAGACTGCAGCAAGCCAAATATGGGGGAAAATGAAAGCAAGAAGCTGGGAAGGACAGACAGAATACTGACTAGTGCTGAGGCAGAGTATGGAAAGGAGAGATTTGACAGGGCATATAGATGTCCTGATAAGTACAGTGTATATGCCATGAAATGGGCATGGGGGGGGGGCTGAAAATTTTGGAGTGTCACGTGTTTGTAGTTCATTTGGGGGGGCATAGAGAATGTAGGGGATACACCACTATCAGAAAGTTCGAACACAGTCACTGACCTGTTACTCTTTATTATGCTGGTGGGAAAGTAGCAAAATAAATACAAGTTTTCTTACGTGTTTCTAATTGAGAGTGGGGGCTGACATATGACATGACTGGCTATATTTGCAAATATGAGCTTACACTTAAGAAAGGGCAGACAGAATGCTGCAAGGATGACTACAGCAACACATTCTATAGTCTTACAAGACTACATGAGGTATGCCACAAACTATGTATGCTCAATCTTCTGCCCTATCTTGACATATCTGATGACCAGCATACAAAGAGCTACAAGCTGTTGTGGAACTATATTATTTTTTTTATTACTAGTGAGGTGGGACTAAGTCCCTTGTACTGCAGCCACTTCTGGCCTATTGTACCAGACCCAGATGATAAGTGAGGGTGGTTGTGGAGCAATTGGTGGAATGAAGACTGGCAGGGGAAACTGAAGTACTTGGAGAAAATCTGCTCTAGTGCCACTTTGTCCCCCACAAATCCCACTTGACCAGACCCGGGATCGAACCTGGGCCGCCGCAGTGGTGTGGAACTATAAGTCAAAAGTATAAAGGGATGCCAGTGAACATTGACAATGATGTCCATGAGTGGTAACTTGAGAGGTATGATTTGGAATAGGAATGAGGCATGTATATAATGGTGATTATGCATAAACCACCAGCAGAAGGCAACATCTGTAATGAACATGGCCACCTCAAAACCCCATCAATAAGGGCTGCAGTTATCACATGGGCTACATCAACAAAGGGGACAGAACAGTTATATCTATTCAATTACTGTATACAGGTGTCTCATTAGTATGTGCTACAATGTATAGATTGGTTTCTGGACATTCAAATAAGCAAACAAGTTTAACAAAACATGACCTGAAAGCTTTCTGTACAGTTATCAACATTAGAAAATGTCATCTCCTGCCATCACATCCTGAAAAACTGATGTTCTGTGAACATTTTTTGTGTTGCATGGTATCACAAAGGGCCATCTGATGGTGACCTAGGCACTGATGTATACGGTACCTGATAACCTTATCCCAGATATTTAGTACAGTGTACACAGTGGACAAACATTAATACATATTACATTTCAAGTCAGTGTGCAGCAATCTGTCCTTTAGAAAGTATGTTACTTATCGTTCCAGCACAGAAAGTGAATGTTCCTTTCATAAACTTCTATGGAATAACTGGCAAAGCTAATGAATGGATCAAATCATACCTCAAAAACAGGTATCAAAGAGTTGAAATAAATAATAAAAACTCCAGTCATAATGCATTTTCAAACTGGGGAATTATAAAGCACGGTGTTCCACAAGGATCAATTTTAGGTCCCTTACTTTTTCTTCTCTACATAAATGATCTATCTAAAACCATCAACAATAAATCTAAACCAATTCTATATGCAGATGACACTAGTATAATATTTAAGAACTCTAAATTTGACAACTTTAAAAATGACATAAATATTGTATTTGAAGCCTTAAACAGATGGTTCGAAGCCAATTTACTCTCATTAAATTTTGATAAAACCCATTACATATCATTCACAACTAAAAACAACCACCAAATTGATCTGGACATCAGTTATGCCAACAAATTAATCTGTAAAGTACTTGATACAAAATTCCTTGGAATACATGTAGACAGTACACTGTCTTGGAAAATACATATTGAACAAATTATACCTAAATTAAATGCAGCTTGCTATGCGATGAGATCAATTAAGCCTTTTATGTCACAGGAAACATTGAAGATGGTTTACCATGCCTACTTTCATTCTATTATGAACTATGGATTAATATTTTGGGGGAACTCTTCACATAGTGTAATAATTTTTAAAATACAAAAGAATATAATTAGAATCATTACAGGATGTAGAAGTAGAGATTCATGTAGAGAATTATTTAAGAAATTAAAAATTCTACCTCTTCAATCGCAATACATATTATCGCTTCTCTTATTTGTTGTTTACAACAAAGATAAATTCAAATTAAATTCTGATGTCTATAACATGAATACTAGACAAAAATATAACTTCCACCTACCCTCATCAACTTTATCAGTATATCAAAAAGGAGTCTACTTTACTGGCATAAAAGTGTTCAACAATCTGCCACAAAGTATTAAAAACTTGGGCAATGATACTAAAAAGTTTAAATCAGAGTTAAAGAATTATCTACATGCTCATTCCTTCTACTCTTTAGATGAATACTTCAATGTAAATAATATTAATTTTTAAGCTAAAATTGCCTGTACTTATGTATGTAACCTTTTGACTTGTTCTGTATCCAAAGGTACTAACCTACTTAGGATTTATAGAATGTAAATAAATTCAATTCAATTCAATAAACTAATGGACATTCATCCTGTGTTATGAAAAAGGAATGGAAATGCTACAAATGCTGTTTAAAGATATGGAGGAAAGTACCCTAATTGAATGGTTGTACTTTCCTGTCTGCTGACTGCCAACTTGGACAGGAACATTTCACCAAACACCATAGAATGTTGGTTACCTATAGTCTGTATGTAATGTACAAATGGAACAACAGACCCAGTGAAGTACAACCTGCAATCAGTACCAGATGCCTTGCAGCTCATACAGGCACCTCCCAAGCCTCTGTACACTGTACATTACAAGTACAGCATTCAGACTGTGCAGCAATAGCACATGATACATCTGCAAGATGTTCACTGTCAACAGATTTTGGAGGGGGGGGGGGAAATCAGCCAAAGGCCGTGGTTTTACATAAAATGTTTTAGGCATGGGCAAATCATGCTTCACTAGGCTTGGATCACCAACATTCACAATGAACATGTGTGGTCAGATGATCTTCATGTGATTACACTTCAACTTGTGTGCTGGAATTTTAGACGAGTGCCTCACAGACCTTCACAATTTACTGGGACAACTTAGTGACCACAATTACCTTACTTTTCTTCAAACAATTTCAATAATGTATTGAAAGTAGTTACTATATGATTCTGACGATAGTCTATAACACACAGAGATATTGGGTTTTCGGACTTTATCCATCGTCCTGGTTTTTAAAATAACTAATAAAAACACGATGTTTCGGAAACTGGATCTGTTTCCGTCCTCAGGTCCAGTGATTGAGGCTAGCTCTTTCCAAAGGACCCAACAGAATAGGTGTTTTCCCTCACCTGAGGATGGAAACAGATCCAGTTTCTGAAAAGTCGTGTTTTTATTAGTTATCTTAAAAACCAGGACGATGGATAAAGTCTGAAAACCAAATATCTCTGTAACCTATTGGAAGCTATGGCCTACAATATGTGTCTTTGCATGTGATTTCATCTGGTGCTCCAGTTGATATAATTGAGCTTTGTATTCTAGGAATTTATGTATAAGTATACATACAGTCTTTTCTGACACCTGTACATGGATCAAAATAAAACTGAACATATGCCAAAAATTAATTTTCCAGTCATAGATTTATTTGTTATCAACTTATATGATTACACAGCTGTACATTTTAGTGGTACTTTCAACCTTTGTTTTCTATCTCTCTACAGTCTCAACAGGAATTATGTTGAAGCCCAGCAGTCCCCGACCTGTCCATACATGAGGTGTGAGACTCAGCCTCACTGTCTTGTCATGTCTTCTGACTACAACACTAAGAGACCGATCTTGAGAATGCCGAACTACAGTAGCAATATCCTGCAGAGATCGGATGTTGCTTGCATTTACTGAACCAAATTCCACAATCAGGTCCTCTTCACAGATGCCCTGAAACAGTTTAGAATGGAACACCAATTGAAAACAGAAGGGACAAAGCTAATTGTTTTTCAGTTTAGTAAGGCCTACACTTTTCAGATAAGACAGCAATATACAATATGAAATGTCTCATGACATGTATTGATGCCTGAGATGCTGCTGTTATAATCGTCGCCCCCTGCTGCCTCCTCCTCCTCCACCACCACCATTATTGTCTAATGGTATAATTTCATGGTCAAGATTGGGAGACCAAGCAGGCTGGCATTTGCTAACGTTATAGATGAATTTTTGAAGCACCAGGTTCACATCTCAGCCGGTTACTGATTATCCTGAAGGTTTTCACAAAGACTTATCTAATCTCCGTATAGAATACCAGGGTAGTATGTTGAATAACATGGCAAACCTTACTCTTAATCTGCTAATATCTTCTCAGGTGATCAGCTGTGCCAATGTTGAGTTAAAAAACATTTCTCTGATATCCTCCGTCATCAAGGTCAAGATGATGAACGACCATAAGTTGCTGCTATATATACCAGCCTATCAAATCAATGCCTCGTTCTACTGGCTATGTGGCTACTGCTGTGTTGTGCCATTGCAGCAAAGCCATGAACCGGTAAATCTATTCCAGTGTCCTTCTCCCCTGAAGTTTCTCGGTACTGGTGTAGTTTAGTGTGCCTCCACATGGAAAAGGTCAGTCAAGAAGCAGTGCCTTATGGGAAGGTAATTTTGTATGGGTTCATTCATTTTGCTTTCCAAAATAGCATACAGATTTTAATGAAATCTGATGTGGGATATCAACACAAAATATTTTCAGGCAAATTTCATCTTAGTTCCTTCTGATTCATATGATTCCTACTGTACATAAGAGCATGTATAATGCAACAGAACTATGGCAAAATATGTCTGAAAATATTTTGTGTTGATATCCCACATCAAATTTCTTTAAAATATATCTGCTGTTTTGGAAACCAGTACCAGTATTTCTTCAGCTTTTCCATGTGGAGGCACATTAAATTAGTCTGATGTCTCACAGCACACCAGATCTTTTTTTTTTCTGGTGTATGTACACTGTATTCATAATATTTTACATGACACTTCATGCCTTTCTCTCTTTGCATTTTGCATTATAGTGTACTTTACAGAAACATTCAAGAGCTTTATAAAATTCTTGGAATAAGTACTAACAAGTGGGGGTGGGGGAACATTTACATTAAAATTGGCTACTATCTAAAATGCGCACTAGGTAACAAATATAAAGATGAAAAATATTGCGGCGGCAGCAAAAGTGTAACAAAGGAACAGCAGCATAAGCCAACAAGCTAATGAAACATGGTTCAACAAGATCACGCTACTATTACTAGAATTTGTGAAATACTGTACTTTTCTTCTTCATGGGTTATTTAATGGTGTTCTCAGTATTGGGACCATACAGCATCAGATAGGAGGATAATAGATAAATAATTAAATGTAAGGGGTTTACAAGGAAGTGGTTGTGGCCTAATTGAGGTACTATTCCAGTATTTGCTTGAGAAATATCATGAAGACCTTCAATGAGGATAGCCAGTGGCCTAGTGAAAATCTGAAACAAGCACCTCTCAATACAAATCTAGGGCATTACCTAAAAAAAAAATTGTTTGGTAAATTATGTACTGTTATATGTGTAGAAAAGAATCTGCATTCAAAATATCATAGTCTACACTCATATCACAGTACACTGGTTGAGAAACAGTGGCACAAAATTGGCTCCATTTTACGAATATAAATTCACAAAAAGTGAAATTATATTTTAGATTTCAAATTCTGAAATTATAATTTCCTGATGGCCAGAAATTCATTTCTACACTTTCAAAATACCAATTTAACCTCTTCAGAGCCTAAGTTATCCTTCAGTAACCTTCTTTCAACTTACTGCTTCTGCAGCTGGTGAATGTGATGCAACAAAATTAACTCTTGCTATTGGTTCAGTATGTTGCACTGCTGCAGTTGTAGGATCTACTGGTAGACCTAGTCCCTCCCTCTGTTGCCCATGCAGAATATGGAGACCCTGCTCAATCTTCAGCATTATACTCTTGTGATCATTCATGAGGCCTAAACACAGTACATTGCACATACTGAGTCTACTGGAACAGTGTTAGGATGTGATACTTATCACAGTGTGTTATTTTATATTTTAAGGAAGTCAGTTTGTATTTTCACAAGTGTTATTTATATCTTACATAAGTTGTTTGTATTTTCGTAAGTGTACAGTAGGCCTAACCTACAAGAAGTGTGTTATTTTATATCTTTAGTAAGTTGATTTGTACTATTGCAAGTGTACCAGTGGGCCTAACCTAAATAAGTTTATCATTGTATATAGTGGGCCTTAAAAGATTTGTGCCAGCATATACTCTTGTAAGTTCTAATCACAAATTAGACTCTTTAAATATATCTGTTAGTACTGAATTATAAGTTAACGTAAGTGGTAATAATGACCACAAGGGGTAACGACTTATCAGGTAAATGTGGGGCCTGCAGAAGGAAGGTTAGCCAGGGGACAGGATGTGAGGACTGTGGCCTGTGGTTTCATTGGGAGTGCTCTGGCACCAATAGTGATTTGGCCATATTACCTTGGTACTGCAACTCCTGTGTGCAAGCCAAGGTAATAAAGAAACAAGAGGAGACTATCTTGAGTTTGAAAAGGGAGCTGGAACTTGCAAGAACTGAGATTGACCTCTTAAAAGGGGAATTAAATTTAGTAGATAATTGTCCTGAAGAATTTAGGACTGTGTCCAACTCCCGAAGAAAACTTAAAAAAGTTCCTTCTTCACTAGATGTTAAGTTAGCTTTAACCAATCGATTTGAACCTCTAGCTATGCTAGGGCCTCAGACTGATGGTGACGCTATAGATCAGCCTGTGTTAGAGGCTAAGCCTAAGCGTAAGATTCTAGTGCTGGGTAGCAGTCATGGTAGGGGTATCGGGCAGAGGCTACAGAAAGCAATGGGAGATGCATATGCTGTGACCAGCATATTCAAGCCCAATGCTGATCTGAGCAATGTCACTGGGGACATTGGAAAATTGTGCAAAGGTTTTAGTAAGGAAGATCAGGTAGTTATAGTTGGGGGGCCAGGTAACAGTTTGGAGAGAAACCTCAATTATCAAATTGAGAAAGATTTAAGTGACATTGCCCAGAAAACTAGTCACACCAATGTGAGGTTTGTTGGTCTTTTCTGGCGACATGACAAGCCATGGATTAACAGGTGTGTAAGGGAGATTAATCTTCGGCTTGAGCGTTCGCTTGTGGAGGTCGGCGCGGCCCACATTGATGCGATTGATGTCTCTTCAATATTGAGGAGCGAACATACTGTCCATGGTTTGCATCTTAATCCTCGAGGCAAGGACAAGCTGACGCGACTCATTGCAGAGAGCATTAAGGGCAGACACATTCCAGTTGTCATGGGTGTTCAGAATCATTTTTTAGGATAAAGAGTGCAAGTAAAGTTTATCAAGTAAAAGAAATTGCAAAAGAAACTAATCTTTCAGACAATAATGTTAGTGAACCAATAGAAATCGGAAAAGGTAATTGCAGTCTACTAAATTCAGTGAATAATAAAGTACTAAGAATATTCCATCAGAATATAAGAGGATTGAGAAACAAAACAAATGAACTAATAAGCTCCATGAATTCAAATCTTCCACACATACTGTGCCTTACTGAACATCACATGAAACAGCTGGAATTAGAACATCTTCACTTAGAAAATTATAATTTAGGTGCTAGATACTGTAGGAAAACACTGGAGAAAGGAGGAGTGAGTATTTTTGTACATGAAAACCTAAAATTTACTAAAATAAATTTAGAAGATTATTGCAAAGACCAGGATCTGGAAGCATGTGCTCTAAAGTTAGACTCTCCTTTTTCTAATATTTGTATACTGACTTTATATAGAGCCCCATCTGGAAACTTCGATCACTTTATAAATAGATTAGAAACCATCCTAAATGTACTGCATAGTTCAAAAGTTGAATTTATAATTTGTGGTGATATAAATATAAACTATCTCATCGACAGTAATAGGAAACTAAATTTAGACTCTTTGTTATCATCTTACAATCTCTCCAGTACTGTTAACTTTCCCACAAGAGTTCAAAATAATTCTAGTTCAGCGATAGATAATATATTCATTGATAACTCAAAATTAAGAGACTATACTGTAGGACCCTTTATAAATGGCTTATCCGATCATGATGCTCAACTCATAGAAATAAATAATATTGACCTTCAGCCCAGTAATCAACAATATCAAACAGTAAGGAAAATCAACAAGCATACGATGGCAGATTTTGTCACAAAATTAAGTAATGAATCATGGGACAATGTATTTGACAGCAATAATATTGATTCTAAATTTAATTGCTTTCTGAACACATACTTGAGGATCTTTTATTCAAGCTTTCCCTTAAAAATAGTCAAAAATGAAAATAAAAACAAATCCACCTGGATAACAATTGGAATAAAAACTTCATGTAAACACAAAAGACAACTATATTTGGCCAGTAGGGACAGTAATGATCCAAGACTAAAAAGTCACTACAAAATGTACTGTAAAATTTTGTCAAAAGTCATTAAAGAAGCCAAACAGAATAACTATAACAGCCAAATTCTAAAATCAAACAATAAAATTAAAACCACCTGGGATATTGTGAAAGTTGAATCAGGAAAGAAATCTGTTAATGAAGACGTACAAAGTTTGAATATTGAAGGGAAGTCCACTAACAATCCACAAGCTATCGCAAGTGCATTTAATGAATATTTCCTTTCATTAGCTGAGAAAACATATTCCAATAACAACAATACTAATAATAATAATAATAATAATAATAATAATAATAATAATAATAATAATCCAATATACTATCTGTCTCGTGCCTTTAACAATTCATTTCCAAATATCAATCTCAAATTCTCAACAAGGAAGGAAATTGAAAACATTATTAAATCCCTTAAGCCCAAAAATTCACATGGATATGATGAAATCTCTACCAAATTACTTAAAGCAAGCTCTGTTTACATCAGTTCACCCTTGAATCATCTATGTAATAAATCTTTATCATCAGGTACTTTTCCTCAACGCTTAAAATACGCTGTAATGAAACCACTTTTTAAAAAAGGAGAGAGAAAATGCATCTCTAATTACAGACCAATATCCATATTGACTTCATTCTCAAAAGTCTTTGAAAAAGTTATGTATAATAGACTACTTGAACACTTAAATTCTAACAACATATTAGTCAAAGAGCAATTTGGATTTAGGAAAGACCTAACAACAGAAAAAGCAACCTATGAACTAACTAACGATATTTTAAGTGCTCTCAATGACAGATTAATTGTGGGAGGGATTTTCTGTGATCTAGCAAAAGCTTTCGATTGTGTTAATCATGATATCTTACTATCGAAATTAAATTTCTATGGAATAACTGGCAAAGCTAATGAATGGATCAAATCATACCTCAAAAACAGGTATCAAAGAGTTGAAATAAATAATAAAAACTCCAGTCATAATGCATTTTCAAACTGGGGAATTATAAAGCACGGTGTTCCACAAGGATCAATTTTAGGTCCCTTACTTTTTCTTCTCTACATAAATGATCTATCTAAAACCATCAACAATAAATCTAAACCAATTCTATATGCAGATGACACTAGTATAATATTTAAGAACTCTAAATTTGACAACTTTAAAAATGACATAAATATTGTATTTGAAGCCTTAAACAGATGGTTCGAAGCCAATTTACTCTCATTAAATTTTGATAAAACCCATTACATATCATTCACAACTAAAAACAACCACCAAATTGATCTGGACATCAGTTATGCCAACAAATTAATCTGTAAAGTACTTGATACAAAATTCCTTGGAATACATGTAGACAGTACACTGTCTTGGAAAATACATATTGAACAAATTATACCTAAATTAAATGCAGCTTGCTATGCGATGAGATCAATTAAGCCTTTTATGTCACAGGAAACATTGAAGATGGTTTACCATGCCTACTTTCATTCTATTATGAACTATGGATTAATATTTTGGGGGAACTCTTCACATAGTGTAATAATTTTTAAAATACAAAAGAATATAATAAGAATCATTACAGGATGTAGAAGTAGAGATTCATGTAGAGAATTATTTAAGAAATTAAAAATTCTACCGCTTCAATCGCAATACATATTATCGCTTCTCCTATTTGTTGTTTGCAACAAAGATAAATTCAAATTAAATTCTGATGTCTATAACATGAATACTAGACAAAAATATAACTTCCACCTACCCTCATCAACTTTATCAGTATATCAAAAAGGAGTCTACTTTACTGGCATAAAAGTGTTCAACAATCTGCCACAAAGTATTAAAAACTTGGGCAATGATACTAAAAAGTTTAAATCAGAGTTAAAGAATTATCTACATGCTCATTCCTTCTACTCTTTAGATGAATACTTCAATGTAAATAGAGAATGATGTAAAATTAAGTTATATTAATTTTTAAGCTAAAATTGCCTGTACTTATGTATGTAACCTTTTGACATGTTCTGTATCCAAAGGTACTAACCTGCTTAGGATTTATAGAATGCAAATAAATTCAATTCAATTCAATTCAATTCAATTCAATACAGTCAATCTGTACACATATGAAACTTCTATGCTATATCTTTACACTATGTACCTACCATCTTCATACCCTCTCTCCTAACACACACATTGATATTTTCTCCTTTCTGGTCCTCAAAGTAGATGCTTTCTGAGTGGTTTCTTCACCACAGCTGTGTATATTACTTCCCATCCAGTCTATATAGTAATAATTCATTGCCCTAACAATATTAGATCTGTATAAACCATAACATTCCTCATTATGTAATTTCATAAGCTACCCACTTACCCATTCAGCTTGGGACCTAATTGTCTCCTGTGCATTCTGCTTTCCAATACCTACAATTTATTTAGAAAGCTTAAAAAAATAAAGCTATCCCTGTAACAGGCCATGGAGGCCCATAGGGTTGTGAAATGTCGAGGTTCCCACATTTTCTAGACAATCAGCTCACAGATGGCAATGAGGTTGTCAGCATTATGTACTGGCTGCCCTTTACACCCAGGAAGTTGCCTGGTACTCATTTCTGTTAGAGGCTGTGACAACCCCCAGGCCACAGTATGGCTGGACTAGGTCACTTGAAAAATCCAACAACCTCATCAGGAATCAAACCCGAGATCTTCTGGCTTGTAGCACAGTGCTTCAACTAACTACACTACCATGTAGGTAGTATAATAGCAGTGAATATATACTGTTCTCTCATTTTTGAACAGCTGCTCGAAGAACGGCCTAGAATTTTGAGGCTGACTGTTGTTGAAGACTTTGTTCCAGTCCTTAACAGTGATATAAATTGTATTCAAATGACTGCGGGCAGTATCATTAACCAAAAACTCTAATTTCATGGTCATTAATTTGCTGCTGAAAGCCCATCACAACTCAGTCAGCAATCTGCTGTACTTCTATAATCCATGTGCACATTTCGAGGGGGGGGGGAGCAATGGGTACAAAAATGCGGGAAAAACCACACAAACTGCTTGCTGCTTACATATAATCTTATGACGGGCATTTCGGACTTGGTACACATCCAGATCCTGTCTGGGATATCCACTGTCATCCACAAGTGCTTCTGTCATTCCAACGTTATTCTGCAAGAAAATGGCAGAGTAATAATACGTCACAAATTAATTCACTAACTTTTTATCAGAAATAATGAAGCAATATGGCACTACTTATTTCCATACTTGGGACCTTTCGTCTTACCAGAGGTGACCGCTACGTAAAGAACAAAGAACATAACCTAAATCAAGTCCCAATGCCTTCTACTCTCAGTAGTTCACATACGTAATATACATTGCTTAATTAATCGTTAAAAGTACTTTGTCATTTACTACATACTTGCAACAAAATACAAATTCGGTAGTATTATGCATAAACTACATACACCCAAGATGACAAATGCATTTTCATACGCATAACATTTATATCATCACAACACTTACACTATCGAGCACAGACTTAATTTGACTGATTTCACTTTCAATTTTTTCTTTTTGTAATACCAGTGCTAAAACACTGTCACGTGTAACATTCTCTCGCATTTCTAACTTTTCCTCATCCATGTTACCACTTTCGACCCGCCACTCCTCAACGCGCTGAACGACGCTGAACAAGTCCTTGCCGTCCTACCCGGTCCTAGCGGTCCTAGCCCTCCTGCTCCTGCCCCACCTAAAACGAATTGTTAATTATTTTGTTTTCGTGAACGTCCGGATCAGTCCACATCAGTCCGCATCACGGATGACCAATGTTAGGGGAATATATATTTTAGTAATCTGTGGGAATTAGTGAGTAATGAACGTAATGAAGATGATAAATATGTGGAGGAGAAGTGTGGAAAGTGTGTAGTGGGGATGAAGTATTGTAAGAGAAGATAGTAACAGAATGGACTACATATGTTTTTTAATATTGTTATAGAACGAATCAAGATTTACGCATTTTAATGTCTAAGTGTTAATTTTTCTGTTCAAGTCGGTACAGGTACTGTATTCGAAATGGCCACAAATGAACTTGATAGTGATTCTACGAAGACCCTCGAAAATGTATCTGTGTCTATGCAGCAGTGTTATGAAAATTATATAATAGTTGATATTGGAGCAAATTTAACCAACAAGAAGTATGGGAGAGATCTGGATTCCGTTATACAACGGGCAAAGGACTCTGGTATGTTTACTTCTAACATAAGAATGAACTTTGTAACGTAGTTGTAGGGGTTTGGGTTGAAGAAAGGTCGGTATGGTTTTTCTGCAGTTTTGATTTAGAGGCTATTCGTTGCTTGGTATATGGCAACTCAAGAAATCACAAACAAAATTCTTGCAATATTATATTTAAGCATCCTGTTGCACTCTACACGATAAATGATACAAACTCCGTCCCAAGTGCAAACAATATATATTATACGTCTTTGATCTTGTTCTTTCTACACTACATGTTTCGGCCTCTATCGGCCATCATCAGGTGTATACTCTTAACGTTGCTGCCACACTGAACCCAGTCTAAAATTTAACATTTAAAAACACAATGTCACATTCTTCGTATTATCAACATCTACATCGTTGATATGTGTCTGGTATGTAGATTATGTTGCACACGTCAAATTTGATATTCTTGTAGTAGCACTCTAAAAATCTTTAGTTATGATGTTTTTTAAAACCTTTTAAAATTTTCTCTAAATTTTAAATTTTGAGGGAGAAATATATTCCATTTGTATATTCTTAGTTGTGCAGAGAGATATCACGATTAGGTTAAATTAGGTTAGCATTAGACAGTAGTACCCATACTGATGGCTACCCAGTCCTCCTCGCCCTCCTCCTCCTCATCATCATCATTATGTGGGTTATGTGTATGGTTGAATTCTTGAATGGGTATAATATGCCAACTTCGAGAAAAAATGAGTAAGTCAGGTTTGTCTTCGTTGCTTCGTATGGTTATGATGTTTCACCTTGGCTGGGGAAAATACATTATAGAATTTTCATAGGAAAACTTCTTGGAGCTTGTACCTTTGGAACACTGAAAGATATAAGTGAATAATCAAAATAAGTCTGAGAGAGAAATAAGCAGTGAAGATGAGAACTCAGAATCATGTCCTATGGGGTTTGGTATTCAGTCTCAGCATTCTGTAATCACATAGTATGTTTTATTTTCATGCTCTTCTCCCAGAATATTCTGTCTGTATGACAGGAATGAGTGCCAGGAATCTTCCTGGGGCTGGTGCTTAAGGCTGACAACCTAACTGCCATCTGTGAGCCAATTGTCTAGAAAATGTGGGAGCCACGACATCTCACAACCTAATGGGCCTCCATGGCCTGTTTCAGGGATGGCTTTACCTTTATCTGGAACAGCAAGTTTATGTGCTTGCATTATGTCATCTGCCATGAGACTTTGTCTAAAGTCTGTAATTTAGTTATGCTTACTAGACCCAACTTACATGTAATGTCGTATTCTTCATCTTCCTATTTGACAGACCTGAAGTCATTCCTGTAAGGACACTGGCAACTGTAATCATTTGCATAAGAGTGAATGATTGTCTAACAGCATTAGACAGAGGCTGAACTTTCTCCTTTTTTCATCTTCAGGAAATATTCTCCAAGTTTTCTGTAAAGCTCTTCCTTTTCTCAGTGTTGAGACACACCCAACTCTGTGGTCACCTTCTTTGTTGACTATTAAGTAAATTAGCTTTTTCTACTACCGTCAGATATGATTGAAGTTCAAATATGACATACTGAAGAGGTCATACTCTTCACCAAGTTTCATCAATTTAAAATTTTCAGGTCATCCACAATTTCCTGGATCCAGTGTTACATGCATTGTTTTTTTAAGTTTATCTTTTACAGCAGAAGATAACAGTTGCAATTTCTGTTTACCAAGAGCTACTTTTCTTTAATTAGTCAGTCATATCTTTTTAATAGGCAAGGCACACACTTCAGAGAATTAAGCAATGATAGCATTTTTCATTTCTGCGCACAGTGCATCTGGTGTGAATGTAGGGTGGTTCTGATGATCATGTGATTGTTCACTGTTCTGTTTAACATTTACATCACAGTCTGAATGCAGCAACTCTCCCAGTATAGAAGAAAGTTGTACACAGCATGGAAATTGTAATTATATACAGTACATACTTTACATATATACTAATTTGATTTAATGATGGATGTTTATTTCACTTCACCTCCAGCGATGAACTGTTACTTCTGTTCATTATTCATGACACAACATCTTCATAATGCCAAAGGTGTCAAACTGAACCGCATGTTGTTTGTATAGGTATAAAGACAGGCATAGCAAGTGCAGTTTTTCTTTGTCTCCTTATCATCTCACACTGTTTATGATGAAAAAGGTAAAGAAAGTAGAGCTATCCCTGTAACAGGCTGTGAAGGTCCATAGGGTTGTGACATGTCGAGGCTGCCCAAATTTTCTAGACAGTTGGCTCACAGAGGCGATGAGGTTATCAATGTTATGCGCCAGCCACCCTTTACTCCCCAGGAAGATTCCTGGTACTTGTTTCTGTTAGAGGCTGAGTTGACCCCAGGGCCATAATGTGGCTGGAAGGTTCAGGTCAGTTGAAAAAATCCCCCTCATCGGGACTCAAACCTCCGAACTTCCAGCTTGTAGCATAGTGCCTCAACCAACTGCACTACCATGTGCCCCACTGTTTATGATACAGAAATTTGTTTTGTTTGAAATGTGCATAGCATGGAGATGGATTGAAGAAAACTTAAATTTATGCTGTATGTAAGGAGCATAGTGACTCTTGCCACTTGAAATTTTCATTGAGTTCATTATTGATTAAGTTTCACATGACTTGAAGTTGTATGTTTTTAATGCATATTTACAGTTTTATTTCCTTATATTCTGAAAACTTGATACAACAAATTTTACCACGCCTCTAGGTATCTTGCTGTATGCAACTCATGAACGTTTCACAGAAATCTGCTCATTTGTTTTGTAAATGTTTTTTTGAACAACTTATGCTTGACAATGAAGAAAGTTGTCTTCTGGGTTTAGGCACCGTGTATTCTTCGTTTTGGCCGACGTTTCGGAGGAACGTAGCGCCTCCATCTTCAGAGCAGTGAATAGCTGCGGAGAGCAGTAGCTGTGGTGATAGGAT